AGAGGCGGGGGATCGAAGGACGCGAGGGGGTACCGGGAAAGAGACGTGGCGGGGGGCGCGGTGGGGGGCGGAGCGGGAATGGATGCGCACACGGGGAAGAAGCGCGGGGATGAGATGGCGATGGCGCAAGGTCAGGGAAGCAAAGGGGGCATTAATCCGCGCGATAAGGAGAGGCTTTCGGGGGTGCCGTCGTCCTCGCAACAAGCCGCTGTCGGCCAGGGAAAGGGTATGATGTGCTCGGGTTGCTGTTTACGTGCAAAGGGTGTGTGTGCGAGTTTTTGTTTCTTTTCGATCGGAGCGACAGTACGAGTATGTCGCTCGTCGTTGCCGTTTGTTGTGGTCGGTGCGGCTCGGAAGCACTAGAACATACTACTACTTCCGCGAAAATGCCCACTTGTATTCTCGTTTTATTTTTAGGGCAAGTCTCAGCATTGTGCATTGCTTGTTGTTGTTGCCCGACGCCATCCCGTCTGGTTCCATTCGATGTATGCGCTTCCTCTGCGCTTTGGCTTTCGTGTGTGTCGCCGGTCAGTTCGATCGTGGTCATCCACGTTAGATCGAACTCAGGTTATCCGATCGACCCATAGAACGAAAATGGCTGTTTTGGAGAACTTGGAGGAATGCAAAAGAAAAGCACACATTCGGTTCGTGTTCCGCCGTCGCCGTTGCGCCATAAGTCCTGTTGCCGGTCTCCCCCCTCCCCGTCCCCACGCCCCTTTTTTCGGCAGTTCCTCCACCCTCCCCTTCTCCCCTTCCCATCCCTCGTCCACACATCCAATCCGACCCCTTCCACCCCCCCTCTCTCCCCCCTTCCCCCCCCCCCCCCCATTTCCTCTCCCTTCCGCCTCCACACCCACTTCAAAGATTTAGAGAGCGAGGAGTCGGAGGACGACACATCGTGGGTGCGTCGTTCTGCTCGCTCAAGGGCAACGAGTGTTTGACCTCCTTCCCTCTGTTACCTTCCCTTCCTTCCCTTCCCTTGTCCACACATCCAACCACCCCCCTTCCTCCCACCCCCTTTCTTCCCCCGACGCGTCGTGGAATCATGGATATGTGGTTCTGCTCGCTCAAGGGCAACGAGCGAGAGTTTGATCCTTTTCCCCTCTGCTGCCCTTCGCTATCCGCGCGTGCCCCCTACGAAGATTCAGAGAGCGAGGAGTCGGACGTGAGCGACTCGGAGGACGACACGTCGTGGATCACGTGGTTCTGCTCGCTGAAGGGCAACGAATTCTTCTGCGAGGTGGACGACGAGTACATTCAGGACGACTTCAATCTCTCGGGGCTCAGCAGCCAGGTGCCCTACTACGACTACGCGCTCGACCTCATCCTCGACGTCGAGTCGCCCACAGGTGCAGGGGGCGCGGGGGGCACGGGGGGCGCGGGGGAGAGGGGGTGGGGCGGGGAGATGGTAGGGGGGCGCGCGCGCCTGGGAATGGCAGGGGTTGAAGGGGCGCGGATATGGGCGAGCGAGGGGGCGAAGGGGCGCATGGGTGGGAGAGGGAGAGGGAGAGAGGAAGAGAGGAGGCGAAGGGCAAGGGATGCATCACGTGGTTCTGCTCGCTGAAGGGCAACGAGTTCTTCTGCGAGGTGGACGACGAGTACATTCAGGACGACTTCAACCTCTCGGGGCTCAGCAGCCAGGTGCCCTACTACGACTACGCGCTCGACCTCATCCTCGACGTCGAGTCGCCCACAGGTGCGGAGGGAGGGGGAGGGAGCGGGAGCGGGAGCGGGAGTAAGGAAAGGAAGGGATGCGCGCATGAGGGTGGGGAAGGGGGGGTGAAGGGGCGCTCGTTCCTGGGGGTGAGTGGGGGAGGACTGTCAGCAGCCAGGTGCCCTACCACGACTACGCGCTCGACCTCATCCTCGACGTCGAGTCGCCCACAGGTGTGATGTGGGGGGGGGTGGGGGAATGGGGGAGGGAAGGGATGCGCGCACACGGGGGTTGGACAGGGGAGTGTGAGCACCCAGGAGCCCTGCTACGATCACGCGCTGAACCCCATCCTGGACGTTGCGTCGCCCACAGGTGAGACTCTAAGAGGGGATGGCAGAAGGAATGCGCGCGCAAAGTAGGGGGTGGGGGAGAGGGGGGGGGGTTGGGGCGGGTGGAGGGCAGGGGGGGAGGAAGAGGTGGAGTGTCAGCAGCCAGGTGCCTGGTTACGTCTACGTCAAGTCTCCTAGCACTGGAGGACCTCATTTCAACTAGAGTTGGTGGGGGGAGTGAGGGATGTGGGGGCTGCGACTCGCACCTGGGTGGCTGGGGACTAGTTTTGAGGCGCCTCAAAACGGGGCTGCGACTCGCGCCTGGGTGGCTGGGGATTTTGAGCACCGAAGCCATGTGTGGTGGGGCAGCACCGTTTCTTAGTCTAGCGTAGGATCGACCACACGGGCGGGGTCTTATTGACTCGTGAGGCGTCGGAGAGTGGTCGGGGGCAGGGAGGGCGGGAGGTGCACAGCATTGGGACTAGTTTTTGTTAGTTTTGAACAATATTGAACTAATGTTCGATTGGTGTATGCTCTGCTTACCAGACGGCACAAGCTGGCTGCAGTGGCCTGATATTTTTTGTTTTCTCCTCGTTCCCTTTACCCAGATGACATACTGACAGAGGAGCAGCACGAGATGGTAGAATCAGCAGCAGAGATGCTCTATGGGCTTATCCACGTGCGCTACATCCTCACCACACGCGGCCTCAGTACCATGGTAAGTGCGCTACATCCTTACCTTGCGGCCTCAGCAGCACCATGGTAGGTCCTCTGAAATACACCCGATACTCTGACCTTACATTGAAATCTTCCCTCCATGTGCCCTTCCTGACTCCTCAAACATACCCTCCAAAGGTCCATACTTCCCACCTTTTTTAAGCAAACTAGTAGAACACGAATTTTGGCCACTGTATCTGAGTATTCTGTTCCGATTCTTCTTACCAAGTGCACATGCTCACCGTCTTGTCGGTTTCGTTGCCCAATTCCATCCCCATCCACCATCAGTTGGATAAATTCAAGAATGTCGACTTTGGCCGGTGTCCCAGAGTCTTTTGTTCCGGGCAGCCCTGCCTCCCCATGGGCCAATCAGACATTCCCAGGACAAGCACAGTGAAGATTTACTGCCCGAAATGCGAAGACATTTACTACCCGCGCTCCAAGTACCAAGGCAGTATCCTCCTCAGCGTGCCGCCTCATTTGAGGCTTGCACCCAAACTCCCATTTCAAGTCCCTCATCTCGTTACGCTGCTATTTCCCTCTTCTCATTGTTGGCTCCCTATATGTGTCTCTATCTATTCTCTCTCCTCACTCCTCAACCTTCCATGTTCTTTTTTCACACTATCTCCTCCTCTCCCCAAATTTTCTCCTGCTTCCGGTCGCTTCCTCCTTCCCACCATCAGTTCCGCTCCTACTACCCACATCCCATGCTGCCCATCTCCCCTGCGCTTCCCCTTGTCCTTATTGAGATTTATCTCTGTCGTTGCGCTAGTTTTGCTTTAAGACCAGTACCCTAAGGCACTCACTCCGGTGCTCACTTGATGCTTCTCTTTCACTTTTCCTGCAAGACCCCTGCGTCCCAGTGGCGCTGTCCATTTCCTCAGCCCCTGGTTTCCTTAACCCATGTCGGCTCCTCCTCGTCCCCACTGTTGTTCACTGTGTGCCTCTCTACCCTATTCCCCCGTCTTCTTCTCCTACCTCCCTCGTTCCTTTCCCCTCTCTCTCGTCAATCCCCCTCCCTCTCTCCCCCCATCAAAATCTCCTTCACTGGCTGTCTCTGCTTCCTTGACTCCCATGTCACCCCTTTTTCCTTCCCAAACGCACCCCCTCTTCCACTCCTTCCTCCTATATCGTCCACCCTTCCTGTCTTTTTTCGACCTTCCTCCTTCCCCCGCCCTCTTGCTCCTGCTTTCCCCTCTCCTGCTCAACTTTCTTCTCGTTTTTGTAACAACCTGCGCGGCTCGGACCAGACATCGACGGGGCTTATTTCGGAACGACCTTCCCGCACCTCTTCCTCATGACCTACCCCTACGTGAAGCCCGCCAAGCCCACCCAGAGCTACGTGCCGCGCGTCTTTGGCTTCCGCCTGCACAGCAGCGCCAAGTAAATCTTCTGGCGCCTTTCTAAAAGCTCGGGCCTGGACAGCAGCGCCAAGCAAAGCTTGGGCGGCACGGCGTGCGCTTGCCGTTCGAGTCCCTTGAAGAGTCAATAGCCAAGTATAGGCGGATCGGGTTGGACTGTGGTTGCCTGTTGAGCGTGTCAGGAAAAGTTTGCCTGCGCCGCAGTGCCAAGCAGAGTCAGGTTGTTTGCTCAAGGATGAACAGGGTAGCAGGTTGGTTGTGAAGCAGCCCCTGGCTGCTTGTTGCTGTAGATGGCTTGTTCGATACACTGGCTGACACTGACAAACGTTCAGAGAGCCATGGCTGGAGGGAGGATCAGGTTGGTTTTGGTGCTGGCAGCAACTGGAATAGGGAATAGAGGCTCTTCACTGGTTTGGAAGATGGAATGAGTCAGAGAGGTGTAGGTAGGAACCCTTCTTTAGTTGCTCCTGATGTTTCTAGGCTTATCATTTCTTTTCTGAGACAACCCACAACAGAGGGTTGTTATTGATGAACCCAACCTGATATAGATTGTGCAGGATACGTTCACTGTAGGAGGATAAGCTACAGCCTCTATCATTACTGAGGGTGCATAGATTAATTCCCTCTATGCTTAGTTTTTTAAGCATGTTAGCAACACCCATTGCTCCAGGGTTCGCTATGGCATCCTGTGTGTGACCAGCCCTCTGATGCTTCCGCCAGTGGGTCACAACTTCAACTTACATTCTCATCGCTGCTCTGGCATTTTAAGGTAGAGAAGTCGACAAAAATATAGAGTAGCAATGTGGAAAATCTGGTGGCGTTAGACTTTGTCTGAGGACGGAGTGTGAGCAGGTAAGCAGTCTCTGTTTACAGGTAGGTACTGAGCTATATTAGGTTGTAGGTCGTAAATTACACGTGATGGTTTGTCAAAAAAAGGTCCTACTCTTGGAGGAGACCGAGGATGAGGGACAATATGAACGACGTGACACTAGCGAGAGCCAGGAGAGAAGCGACTGTGAGCTGGCCAATCACAAGAGCTGTGCTGTCGTCAGGCACAAATACCGGCACGGCAATGGCGGCGACGAGGAGCGGGAGAGCCGCAGAGGCGAAGGTACCGGCGGGAGTGGTGGCGAATTTCTCGGCAAGGCTGAGCAGACCGAGAGATTCGGCCTTGGATAGAAGGCCGAGCTCCTCGATTTTGGAGAGCGTGAGACCGGATGACTCGAGCTTCGAGAGCAGACCGGCCTTCTCGACTTGCGATAGAAGCTTCTTCTTCTCCAACTGCTGCACGATGTTCACGGGAGCGGACTCGGAATCCTCGACGAAGAGACCGTACCCGATGAACTCCTTCCTCCAGTCGTCAAGGTAGGTGTTAACCTGCGTTGGGTGGGAGCATTATGATAAGTGAGAAGCTTGATAGTAAGTAACTCTCAAGAGAATTTAACGTTTAACGCTTAAATATTATCTTGGTATCATTCCTTCCTATTGCCCGGAAGTGTACGAAGTGTGACAGTGAAATCCGAATGTTTAATCATATATGTTGCACACTATAAAGTGTAGTATTTATAATGTGCGACTTACCTTCTTCTTGGTGGCCATGGCGACGACGCGTGACTGGCATCGCGCGCCATTGAGCGACTTCAGGCCCTTCACCGATGAAGAGTCTGAAAAGCCAAGAGCAGTGGCTGCTCCGGCCACAACTTGGCACTGAGAGAGAGCACGGAGGGTGGCCATTGCTGATAGTCTAGTGGTCTCTCTGAAGTGCTCAAGTTACTGGTGACTCGAGGAATCACCTTGTACGACTGTGCCTGAAAAGTAGAAGTCTCCTGAAGCTAGAGTTCCAGGTGCTGTTGGCAGTTTTACAGCAGTCGACCTCGAGGGATTTTGACAACTAGGATGAGGAACTTGACACTGCTGGCGGGGCTGGGAGAATCCGACGAAACGTAATCGTGCGGACGAAATGAGAGGCGAAGATCGAGCGAAAGCTTCCAACGATCAAGGACACATCCACCTGTTCCTTAAACAAGAGGTGGTATGAGGTTGTGGGAGGCGAGAGTTACTATAGCGAAGTGATTGTTGAGAGGAACAATGTTGTGCTTGAGGTGCTGCCATGTAGGCAGTGTCCGGTTGAAATTATTTGGTTGTTATTGGTCAGCCCGCAATGATGGAAACTCGTGGCGCTCAGAGCACGGAGCACATGTTTGTGGATTTTCACTTCACCAATCAGCAGGACGATGCCCATTTTCCAGATTTCGCCAGGGCAGTCTCCGAAACACGTGCCTGTGATAAGACTGTCGCAATACCCGAGTGTAGGAAACAACACGTTACAGCAGGCTGGGGAACTCGCCTGATCAACACGTTACTAGCATTTCCTTCACTACTAACTAACACAACTCAAGTTTACTTAATAAATGGGGCAAGCGACAGACGCATGTTCGATATTTTGGCTAACAAATGCACAATGCACCTCCGCCTCAACTAGGCTGTTCCCTCTGCAGCTCGAAGGGCTCAACATTTCCAACCAGGGGAAGCAGCATGCTTCTCACGGCGTTTCCTTGCACATACGATTCCTCCTGCACTGCTAGGTGTGCAAATCTGCACGCAGCCTCGTCTGAAAACGCCAAGGTCCACCGCCCATCTGCCAAGCGCTTGGTGCGGGCCCGCGAGCCCATGGGAGAGCGAGAGGCGAGAGTACCGGCATCGGAGGCCGGGGCCTGGGGCGAGCGGATGCGCAGATGCAGCCAGCGCTTGTGCTTCGGGTCCAGTGAAGGCTGATGTATGGGGCAGGGTGAAGCATTGGGAAGTTGAGAAGCGTGCAACACATGTGAAGCAAGAGATTTTGTAGCAAGGAAAGCGAAGAGCTTGACATGAAACTAGAGCAACAAGCCAGTTCCGATGTGAGGAGCAAAGAGTGTGGCAGACACCCCCAAATAGCTGATGGATGCTATACTAGCGAAAGAAAATAGACAAATAACTCTACCTGAGATCCTTGCTAGAGGAGGTTCACCAACCTGGCAGCCTGCGAGTGGAGCGACGACACGGACGACTCCTATAGCCCCTTCGGCCACAGCAGCCTTGGCTGTCATGCCGGCAGGCGGCTCTGCCAGCAGCACCCAGCCGTTGGCCGCACAGGAGGCCACGAGCAGCAGCACGTGCTTCTCCTTGCCCCGCTCAAACGCCACTCGGCATGGGATGGCGTCGCCAGGCTCTGCAAAGGAGGAAGCAAGAGGTGAGAGGAGGTGGTGGGTCGCAGGGAACGTGCAGCTGGTCTCCATGGAACGTTAGAAAGTAACACAGCAGGGACGGGTAACTTTGGGGAAAAAATCAGGAGTGAAGGAAGGAGAGAATGCTAGATTGACACATAAGAAGGGGGAAAACAAGACAACGCAAGGCATGGAGGTACATTGAAGGAAAGGCATGACTGAGGACGGAAGCAGACAAGGGAGGGAGGCACTGACCTAGAGGCACCTCGGTGCCTTCCTGCGCCTGAGGCAGATTGAGTCCCTTGCGGCCGAACCGAGCATCAAGGAGGGGAGGGGCTGCTGTGGCAAGAGGAGGGGCGTCTGGGAGAGGCAGGCCTAGCAGCGTGGCTCGCATCTGATGCAGCGCCACGTACACCTGAGCGAGAGGGAGGGAGGGTATTGGTTTTAGGAAACTCTAAAAAAACACCTACGACCGGGTGGCTAGGTTCTAGTGCAACCCCACGTATACCTGAGAGAAAGAGGGAGAGAGTGTGCGAGTGAGTGTGTGAGGGAAAGGATGGCTGGATAATTATGAGCATCAGAAGCCTGCATCTGGTGCAGTCCCATTCATCAGCCATGATGAATGCCTTTGCGTTTCAGAATGAGCACTAGTAACACTTGCACTAGTAACACTTTGATTTGTTCCCTCGACCAGCAACAGAGCCTGACCAAGCAACCCACCTTGACCACGGTGCGCATTCTCTCGCCGAACGCTGCTGACGACGAGTCACCTGCAATGCAACACAGCGACAAGAACACAGGGCTTCAGTATGTTCCAACCAAAACAGCACATATGCGTAAGTCGTAGGGTGGTTCTTGTAGAAAAGTGGACACAAAAGGTAAAAAAAACAAAACGAAAAGAAACGAAACGAAGTGAAGTGAAACGCGAGAAAAGATGATGCAGCCACTTGCACCTGATGCCGGCAGCAACAACAGCTCATTTGAGCATGTCTGTACCATGCTCCAATAAAGATGCACACGGGGGATCTTATAGGGGGGACTCTAAGAATCTCAAAGGTTCAACTAGCAGCACGTGAGCACATACCATCAGTGAGGAGGGGCGGGAGGCTGGGCATGAGGACGAGAGAGGAGTCATTGGCCAGCGTGGCTGATTCCAGTGCTGTTGTGGGAGGGGGAGGGGGGGGGGCAACAGCGGGAGGGACATGCATAGGCAGAGGGGGAGAGGACGAGAGAGGAGTCATTGGCCAGCGTGGCTGATTCCAGTGCTGTTGGGGGAGCGACAGTGGGAGAGGCCCCCATGGATGGGGAGTAGTGGAAAGTGTTAAGGGAGGTTCAGGGAGGAAATGGAGGGCGGAGTGAAACAATAATTTGACAACCGAACCACAGAGTGAAACAGTAGCTAGACCTGCGCAAGACACGAAGCCAAACTGTGGGACAGTGAGCCTTCAGAGAAGTACTTGACATGCTTACGGACTCCTCACACCCTTGCACCGCTCTGTACCTTTCCGGCATGCCTTCCACTCCTCGACCATAGCAGCAGGCAGCATGTCACACCAGCAGTCCAATAACTCCCCCACCAGGTCACCACGTGCCAGCTCATATGCGTGCTGCAAGAGGAAATATCGGAATAAGGCAAGGGAGGAACAGGCAATGAATCATGTAAGCATGCCAATCAACATGTTGCAAGACGTGATACAGGAAGGGGGAAAAGACGAATCATACATACAGAGTTTCGCATCTGCTTGTGGTGCATAGCATAGCTACAGAGTCTAACCAAGACCCGAACATACAGAGAGCAGATGGGACCAGCACATACAGAGAAGGATTTGAGAACCGCACACGCACAGTGAGCGGCTTCTTGTGTGCTGTGCTGACTGCAGGGGATGGCTGAACGGCAGTCACAAGCTGGCTGCAGATCATACAATATACGACGAGCCATCATGACACGACCTCCACACTCACGACCTCCACAGAGCATTTGACCCCCACAGAGCATTTGACCCCCACAGAGCATTTGACCCCCACAGAGCATTTGACCTCCACAGAGCAATTGACCCCCCCATACATACAGTGAGCAGCTTCTTATGTGCTGACTGCAGGCGATGGCTGGGCGGCAGCAGCTGGCGCAGCAGCCACCCCGCGTGCCACAGGGCTTCAGGTGAGGGCGGCGGTCTCTTGCACAGCAGCACAAACACCGTGTCCACCACCTGGGGGTCGGGAGAAAAAGGGGGGGGGGGGGGGTGCGTGAAGGGAATATGAAGGGATAGGAATGACGAGGTTTCTTGCACAGCAGCACAAACACCGTGTCCACCACCTGCGAAAGGGAGTGGAGGTAGGAGCGGGGAGAGGGGAAGAGGGGGGAGGAGGGAAGAGGGGATAAATGGGACAAAAAAGGCAGGGTCTCTTGCAGAGAATCACAAACACTGTGTCCACCACCTGGAGGTGGGGGGCGAGGAGGGGTTGAGGTGTGGTGGGAGGAGGGGGTGGTTGGGGGAGGGGGAAGGGGGAGGGGAAATCATAATGTAAGCATGGCGTCACACCACCACCCATTGATCTTGTGACCAAGCCATGGCCACCACGCAATCATCATGTAAGTGTGGCATGGCATCACACCACATGGCATCACACCACATGGCATCACACCACATGGCATCACACCACATGGCATCACACCACATGGCATCACACCACATGGCATCACACCACATGTCATCACACCACATGTCATCACACCACATGGCATCACACCACATGTCATCACACCACATGTCATCACACCACATTGCGTCACACCACATGTCATCACGCACCTGCCGTCTCTTTCTGGAGTGCTGTTTCAATGACGGGGTGTCAGCCCCACCACACCCACAAGCTGAACACCTGAATGGAGATGCCTGGGGTTGGGGGGAGGGGTTGTCACGCAGGAGTGCACGTTCTGATACATAATAAGCTTCGCTGCACACTGAATGCTAATGATTGGGAGCTTTCAAGGGGAGCTTTACCAACGAGCAGGCAGACAGGGAGACGGGGAATTGAAGTCCGGGCAGTGAGACACACCTAATTCTGCTAAGGACTATTGAACAACAAAGACTGCTCGTTTGCTCACCTTCCCTTCGGCTCGATCACGCTGCTCGTCCAGCACCGCACCTCCTCCCCCTCTCTCATCCCCCTTCTCTTCACCTCCTCTCCCCCTCCCCCCACCCTCACCATCACGCCCCACTGCTCCATCACCCCTCTCCCCACCACCCCCCTCCCCGCCACCCCCCTCCCCGCCACCACCCACAGCCATAAATCTACTCCCTAGCACCGGCCCTGCTCCTGCCCCCACTGCCCACCGCCCACTGCCAGACCCTCTGCTGCTGCCACACTCACTACACTCACCCCCGCTACTGTCACCCCTCAATTCCGTCCTGTCTACTACAGATAATCCCGATGCTGAGCTGGCATCAGAACCTGCTGCCGGTGCTGGTGCTACAGCTGTATCTGCTCCTGATCCCAACGGTGCTTCTGCTGCTGCATGCGACAGCCTATCAGCCTCCCTGCCCGCCTCTGCTCCTCCTCCTGCTCCCCCTCCACCCCCTCCTGCTTCTGCCTGCTCACCCCCCTCCACTGCATCACTGTCCTGCCGCCTCAGCAGCCGCTTCAGCTGCTCCTCTGATTGGTTACCCACCAATGCCTCCTGCCACGTGCGCATGGGAGGGGAGGGAGGGCAGTGCAGGGGTGAGAAGGGGACAGCGGCAATCTATCTCCAGCATAGATTTCATTGAGTGTCTTTTGAGTTGCCTCAAAGGTCACCACAAACCACGCTGTGCGTTTGGGAGTGAGTAAGCAGTCAAAGTCACTCCCACTATTGACATGACAGCAAGAAGGCGAGCAAGGGCGAGTGAGTGAGTGAGCAAGGGGCGACTGACCACGAGGAGTCGTCGGTGGCGGCGGTTGCACGGCAGCATGCCCAGCTCCTCCAGTAACGAGTCGTGCACCGCTGGAGTGCCCGAGAGTGAGGGGGCAACAGATGTGATGGCACGGCACGCACACAAAAGAAAAACGGATGAATGCAATCACGGACGAATCAGGCAATAAGCAGAGTCGCTCGCATGCAATGCAAACAGGGTCCTTGCTGCCTTTGCCCCTCTTCTTCCCTCAATCTCCCTCTTCTTCCCTCAATCTCCCTCTTCTTCCCTCAATCTCCCTCTTCTTCCCTCAATCTCCCTCTTCTTCCCTCAATCTCCCTCTTCTTCCCTCAATCTCCCTCTTCTTCCCTCAATCTCCCTCTTCTTCCCTCAATCTCCCTCTTCTTCCCTCAATCTCCCTCTTCTTCCCTCAATCTCCCTCTTCTTCCCTCAATCTCCCTCTTCTTCCCTCAATCTCCCTCTTCTTCCCTCAATCTCCCTCTTCTTCCCTCAATCTCCCTCTTCTTCCTTCAATCTCCCTCTTCTTCCCTCAATCTCCCTCTTCTTCCCTCAATCTCCCTCTTCTTCCCTCAATCTCCCTCTTCTTCCCTCAATCTCCCTCTTCTTCCCTCAATCTCCCTCTTCTTCCCTCAATCTCCCTCTTCTTCCCTCAATCTCCCTCTTCTTTCCTCAATCTCCCTCTTCTTTGCCTTTGCTCCTTCCTCGTCATCATCAGCTTTGTGACTCAAGAACCCCAGCCGAATTCATTCGTCCCACTCTTTGTCCCCCCTGCCACCCTGGCCTGCCCCGCTCACCTGTGTTCTGCAGCAGACCGCAGAGCACACAGAGCGACGCCAGCACCCACCGCTCATTGTTGCACAGCAGGTATGACACTATCGTGTCCCTGGGGGCGAGAGACAATGGGGGCGGGAGAGGAAGGAGAGAAAAGAGAGAGATTGGAGGACTGGGCACCTGGAAGCACCCATGCCAGCACCCACCGCTCGTTGTTGCACAGCAGGTACGACACTATCGTGTCCTTGGGGGCGAGAGACAATGGGGGCGGGAGATTGGGACGGGGGGGAGATCGAGGGGGGTGGGAGACTGAGGAGGGTGGGAGATTGGCGAGAAAGGGACGGAGTAAAGCAATGACGAAGGAATGGATTGAGTGAGTGACAGGTCACAAGCCCAGTACTGGTGGCGTGTGGAGAGGAGAGGGGGGATGCGTACCAGCACTGGCAGCAGTCTGGGGGGGGGGAGGAGCCGGAGGGGGAGCAGAGGAGGGGGTGGAGGAGCAGATGACGAAGCGGGGCAGCAAAGGAGGCAGTAAGGGAACATACTGCACCAAGCGCTAGCTCTGTGGGGTCGAGGTCCAAAATGATGGATTCTGGAAAGTCATTGAATGGTGCTGCTCCCTGTCATTGAGGCGCCAGAATAATCGTTCCTGCTTTGAAGGCGCCTCAAGAAACGTACCAGGCACTGGCAGTGTGGTCGAGGTCGAGAGTGAATGATGGTGCCAGACGCATGGCGCTGCTTCCTGTACGACGAGCTCCTGAGGGGAGCTTTGACTCGACTCGAAACACGAGGAAGTAGGGAAAGAGAACGTACCAAGCGCTGGCGGTGGGGTTGAGGTCCAGGATGACGGTGTCAGAGGCATGGCGCTGCTTCCTGTACGACGAGCTCCTGAGGGCGTTTTGAGGCGCCTCAAAAACCGCCTCACTACTAGGGGAACAGAAAAACATACCAGGCGCTGGCGGTGGGGTCGAGGTCCAGGATAATGGTGTCAGACGCATGGCGCTGCTTCCTGTACGGGGAGCTCCTGAGGGGCGAGCTGAAGCTCCTCTGAACCGCATCCGAGCTCTCATTCAGCTGCGGAGAGTCCAGGCTCTTCATTTGCTGTGGGGAGTCTGAGCTCTTGATGCGCTGGGGCGAGTCGGTAAGACTCCTGCTGCTGCCACTGCTCTGGGTCCTGAGGTGCCTGCGCGCCGACAGAGCCGGCCTGTCTCGTGCCGATGCTGACCGCACAACACCGCTCCTACCACCACTGCGATTCCCATCCTCCCCACGATTCTTATCTTCCCCCTGCTTGCTTTCTGCCTCCTCCCTTCCAGCAACATACCCATTCGGCGCATCTGCTGCCGCTAGATCTTCCCTGCCGTCCCCTGTTCTCTCCCCTCCTCTCTCCCCTGCTTCCTCACTGCCCCCATCTCTGCCCTCCCGCCCATCCAGACTCTCTGAGAAGGAACCACCCAGTGAGTCCGCAATTCCACGTCTTGCTGACAACGGCCACTTTGCCTTCTTCCCCTCTGCTGCTGAGGATTCTCCCCTTTCTGCCACTCCTCCTGCACTCGCGCCTCCATCCCTCCCCTCTGCTGCTGCTGCAGAAGGTGGGGAGACTATGCCTTGTGCACCAAAAGCAGAAGCAGTGGTTGTAAGGTGAGCAGGAGGGGGGACGGGAGGCCTTGCAGAGAGGTGATGGGTATCAGACAACCTGTGACCTGCTGTTGCTGTGCCTGCCGCTGCAGCCGCTGCTCCTACCAATGCTGCTGCCGCACCACCAGCGCCACCAGAAGCTCCTTCCCTCCCTTTCCCTACACCAAACTCGCTATCCTGAACCCCAAAATCCGCAGAGCTCGATGCGCTTCTGCTCCTCCTCACATGCCGTTTCTCCTGCCGTTTCTCCTGCTGCTTCTCCTGCTGCTTCTCCTGCTGCTTCTCCTGCTGCTTCTCCTGCTGCTTCTCCTGCTGCTTCTCCTGCCGTTTCTCCTGCTGCTTCTCCTGCTGCTTCTCCTGCTGCTTCTCCTGCTGCTTCTCCTGCTGCTTCTCCTGCTGCTTCTCCTGCTGCTTCTCCTGCTGCTTCTCCTGCTGCTTCTCCTGCTGCTTCTCCTGCTGCTTCTCCTGCTGCTTCTCCTGCTGCTTCTCCTGCTGCTTCTCCTGCTGCTTCTCCTGCTGCTTCTCCTGCTGCTTCTCCTGCTGCTTCTCCTGCTGCTTCTCCTGCTGCTTCTCCTGCTGCTTCTCCTGCTGCTTCTCCTGCTGCTTCTCCTGCTGCTTCTCCTGCTGCTTCTCCTGCTGCTTCTCCTGCTGCTTCTCCTGCTGCTTCTCCTGCTGCTTCTCCTGCTGCTTCTCCTGCTGCTTCTCCTGCTGCTTCTCCTGCTGCTTCTCCTGCTGCTTCTCCTGCTGCTTCTCCTGCCGTTTCTCCTGCTGCTTCTCCTGCTGCTTCTCCTGCCGTTTCTCCTGCTGCTTCTCCTGCTGCTTCTCCTGCCGTTTCTCCTGCTGCTTCTCCTGCTGCTTCTCCTGCCGTTTCTCCTGCTGTTTCTCCTGCTGCTTCTCCTGCCGTTTCTCCTGCTGCTTCTCCTGCTGCTTCTCCTGCTGCTTCTCCTGCTGCTTCTCCTGCTGCTTCTCCTGCTGCTTCTCCTGCTGCTTCTCCTGCTGCTTCTCCTGCTGCTTCTCCTGCTGCTTCTCCTGCTGCTTCTCCTGCTGCTTCTCCTGCTGCTTCTCCTGCTGCTTCTCCTGCTGCTTCTCCTGCTGCTTCTCCTGCCGTTTCTCCTGCTGCTTCTCCTGCTGCTTCTCCTGCCGTTTCTCCTGCTGCTTCTCCTGCTGCTTCTCCTGCCGTTTCTCCTGCTGCTTCTCCTGCTGCTTCTCCTGCCGTTTCTCCTGCTGCTTCTCCTGCTGCTTCTCCTGCCGTTTCTCCTGCTGCTTCTCCTGCTGCTTCTCCTGCCGTTTCTCCTGCTGCTTCTCCTGCTGCTTCTCCTGCCGTTTCTCCTGCTGCTTCTCCTGCTGCTTCTCCTGCCGTTTCTCCTGCTGCTTCTCCTGCTGCTTCTCCTGCCGTTTCTCCTGCTGCTTCTCCTGCTGCTTCTCCTGCGGTTTGCCCTGCTGCTGCTGGAACTCATACAGCTGAGGCAGCACCCCGTCGGAGCCAGCAGGGCTGGCGGAGAGGGAGGCGGCGATGGAGCGAGTGGCGGTGTCGAGGAAGGGGCGGTAGGTCACCACATGCAGCACACGCGACAGCAGGTACATGGCGCACAGCGGTGATATGCGCTTAGCCTGAAAGTGGGAAAATTGAGCAGGAAGGGATGGGATGGGATGCAGGGGAAAAGTACGGTGAAGGTAAATCAGATCTATGGGCGAGCGGGAGGGATGTGCATTCCTGCTCAAGAGAGGGGTTGAAGGGATAAGGGAGACGAGAGCAGGGCTGGCGGAGAGGGAGGCGGCGATGGAGCGGGTGGCGGTGTCAAGGAAGGGGCGGTAGGTCACCACGTGCAGCACACGCGACAGCAGGTACATGGCGCACAGCGGTGATATGCGCTTCGCCTGAAAGTGGGGTTGAGTGATGATGGGGTAGAGGGATAGGAGACAAGAGGCACAAAACAGGGTAGATAGAGGAGTGAATGGGGCGCAGCCGGTACATGGTGGCGAGATGGGATTTGCCTGGAAGAAAGGGATAGGGGGGAGGGGGAGGGTGAGGCGAGGAGGAGCACAGGCAGGCACGACCCAGATGCTGACGAGATGCTCTGAGACAACCTCGGGGAGATTGGCGGTGTATACCCCTTTGTGCAGAGAGTGTGAGCAAAACTGAATGCATGGACTGAAACACATGAGCCACACTTACATTGGGCGAGCCAGACTCGGGGGAGAGCGAGGCGAGGAGCACGGGGAAGACCCAGATGCTGAGGAGGTGCTCCGAGACCACCTCTGAGAGCTGTGGGATTCCAGCGCTCATGACGTCGTTGCAGTAGTAGAGTAGATCGCCGATCTCCGCTATCGACGCCTCCACCCGCCCCACGTCCACTATCGACCCAAAGTTCCTGTGCTCAGGTGTGCGGGTGGGTTGAGGGTGGGGGAATACAGGAAGGGAGGAGACAAGGCTGGGTGGGTGAGCCGGCGCTCTCATGAGGTCGTTCGTTGCAGAGTAGACCAGCTCTGGCGTGGCTTATCCAGCAAAGTGCTGATTCACTCTCTCATTCACCCATGCCCCCATGCACCCGTGACCCATCCACCTGACAGCACTGGCGACGAGGCGGGCCAGCGTGAAGCTTTGCTGATGGCTGGCTGTCCATGCCCACCTACACATCCACCCCACCTATTCAGTCACTCATCCAACCATGTCAACTTGTAACCACCCACCCACCCACCTGACAGCGTTGGCAACAAGGCGAGCAAGAGTGAAGCTCTGCTGGCGCACGAAAATGGCCAGGTCCTCAAAGTACCGGATGGCTGATGGGCTCAGCACAAAGCGGTTGGCCCGCTCGTCATGCACTGGTGGGGAGAGGATGAAGGGTGGGGAGGGGAGGGAAGGAGGGGGAGGAAGTGGTTTGGAGGAAAGGGCGATGTGAAGAACCCGACACAGCACAGTGCGAGTCATGCGCTGGTGGGGATGGCAAGGTGGGTGCGGAGGATGGGTGGCAGGGGACGGATGGGGAGTGGCAGTGGCAACGTATGGTATTATGGTTGGACGGGGAAGTGACATGTTGGAGGGAGGATTTCATGCAAGGAACGAACAAATGGAGGAGGGAGAGGGATCACATACCATTGTAGATGGTGAGGGTGAGCGTGCGCACGGCGATGCGGACCATGCTCTCCTCGTGGTGGAAGAAGCGGATTGCCTCCACGTACAGGGGGAAGGCGCTGCTGCCATCCTGCATTCATCCATGCAGTATGTACACGTCGCTTAGTCCAGTGGTAAAGCCGAAACACGAACACACTTCTAGTGCTATTGCTACTGTTACTGGTTCGGTTTGGTACAGTGTGGCTGTGTGAGTGTGTGGCGCACCTCCTTTTCCACGATGAAGTAGGAGATGGTAGACTTGTCCAGCTTCATGCTCAGCGTTCTGCAGTGGGAGGGAGGGGGGGCATGCGGACAGACAGACAGACACGTGCACCACGTGCCGGTATGAGGGACAGCAATTAGCAGCAGCAGCAGCAGCAGCAGCAATAACAGCAGCACATGCATGTGCATATGCGCTTTTATGCTTGACTCGGAAGGCATGTGCATGTGCATGCGCATGCGCACATGGGCATGATACAAGTCTGACAGTAAGCAGATGAAGCGCAGTGATTTACTGGGACCATTAATTTCTTGGCAAGAGAGTTGAAGGAACATGAAGGATGTGGTACAAACAAATCCAGGCCAAGGAGTAAGCTCTTCAAATGAGACGAAGGGATCGTGGATTGGAGAAGAAGACATGGTGGTGGGGAAGCACACAAGAGGCGGTGGCTCACTTGAGGAAGGAGATGTAGTATGCGAGCAGCTCCTCATCGGAGAAATCAAAGGGGAAGGAGATGACGTTGTTGATGTGCTCCTTGCTGAACATGTAGTCTGCCAGGCCAGTGTTGGGTGTGGTGGGAAGGAAGAGAGAGGATGTGAAAAAGATGGGGAGGTGGGGGGTGTGAAAGGGCTTCGAGGGGTTCGAGGTGGAATAAAGGAGATGACGTTGTTGATGTGCTCCTTGCTGAACATGTAGTCTGCCAGGGGGGCCATGGTGTTGGTTGGGTGTAGAGTGGTGATGGGGGAGTGACGGGGGTCAAGGGGTTGGGAGGTTGATGGCAACCACGATGCGCTCCTTGATGCCATGGGCCATGGGAGCAAATTGATGACGGCATCAACGGCGTTGTTGGGTGAGCAGGTGAGAGAGGAAGTGGAAATGGTGGGGCAATGGGGTGTAGACGAGATGGGGGGTGCTGAAGTGGTCTAGAAATTGTGCTCCTTGCTATACATGCAATCGCGAGGTATGCAGTGTGCGAGGAAGAAAGGGAAGGGGGTGGGGTTGGGGGTGGGGGGGGGAGGGGGGGCGAGGGAGGGAAAAGGAGTGGGAGGGGATGGAAGGGGACGGAGGCCGATGGTGTTGATTAGGTGCTCCTTGCTGAGAATGCAGTCAGGGTGGGGAAGTTAGGTTAGGGAATCATGTGGCATTGCCAATGCGCTGGGGGCTGGGGAGGTAGCCTGACAGCAAGAGCCAACAAGGGCAGTGTATGTGGGGCAGTGGAGGATGCAGTGACGAACACACTCACAGATGGCCTTTTCGCTCTTGAGGTTCTGAATCATGAGGTTGAGCGTCTGCAGCAGCTGCACCATGACCCCCTCGCACTGAGGCGACGGCTGATTGGCCAGCGCCATGATGCGGATGAACTGCGCGAATACGCCCTGCTCCACAAAGAACCTGCAAGCAGCATGTGAGCGGGTGGGCGGAGGCAAGGTTGGGAGTGAGACCACGAATACACCCTGCTCCAGGAAGAATCTCCGGGAAGCAGGCGCGGGTTCGCAACCAGACAAATGTTTATAAACTGAAGGAATGGGATCAGAAACGCGATACCACCAATACTATTCTCTCCTGAGCTTACTCGAAAAATGCAGGCTCGTGCTGGTCCCCCCATATCATCAGCTCCGCTATAGACCTCAACGTCTCCACTACAGTGTCCTGATGGAACCAAAATGCGAACAGGAACAGCTCTAGCGAGAAGGATCAAGAAGCGAGGAGGTAAGCCATGGACAAATCGGAAACACAGAAGCAATACTCTTCTCTATGAACTCTTCGGACAGAATCACCGTGAGCGAGACGCTTTCGAACAAGGCTTGAGTCTACAAAGTACGGTAAAATAGGGTTGTAAAGTACGTTAAGATGCTCGTATCACGACATTTTCGAACGAACCTTGTTCGCATCGCTGATGATTGTGTGTTTCTGAAGCACGTCGTTGAGATGCCTGAGGAGACAATAAGTAACGAAGTGAAGAGGCCCGGAAATCAGTTGAATAAGCAAACAGCTAAGTGAACAGACCAGAAGCTGTAGGTAAATTCGTAAGAAGCTGTATTTAAAGGCACATCGACCGCCTCGCTTCCTAATCTTTCTACAAGCTAGAAACGACGACTCTTACTTCAACTCCTCGAGCGAGAAGCGCTCTCGCTGTTTTCCCCAGATCGCCCACATGGTGCACCGCCGCTCTCACTGCGACTCGTTCCGCGCAGGCGAGAAACGACTCCGCACCTACAGACATCTAGCCCCGCGTCGCATCAGAAAAAACACGACACGTCTTCGTACGAATAACTAAGGATGCCAGGCTAGGAGACGAGGACGGCAGTGAGGACCAACAGACCCGCAAAGACTTGCGGTATCACCAATAAATGTTTCTTTATTGGCTAGGGGTCAGTCAACAATGTGGATGTGTGAAAATAAGAGGGGGGAGGTTGGAATTGTGTGCGCAAGCAGAGCTGCGCATGTTGCGTTTGATTCGGGTTCAGCAAGTTTCTTCGCGTTCCAGAGCGGTCACATACTCTTGAGTAATGTTTTACGAAGAAACGTTGGGTCCCACACAAGCAGGAAGCACAACAGGTTGGTCGGCCCTCGATATTGTCGCGGGTGTTGGCGGAAAAGTGCAACGGGCGAGAGAACAGGCCTTGGACGTGACTAGCGAACGAGCGAGGGCTCGCGAACGAACGCATCCACAGTGATATATGATCGACTGGAAAGCACATATGATCGACTTCGCTATGTATATGAATCCTCTCAACACCTGGAGACTCACGTTATGTACCAAAAGCCCTGAAAATCTTTACATTACGCCAGCTTATCTTGGTCATTAGAAATTTTAGTGGAAAAAACGTTCAGTCGTGCAACTGAACACTCCATCTTCACCCCTAAATCGCTCTAAAATAACCTAATAAAACCGCGTGATGATGTGGAACTCATCATCCTCCATCACCCGAACATCCTTGGCCCCTGGGAAGTGCTCCAACCCAATCTCATGTACAATGTCCACAAACTTCTGCCGGCTCTCCTTATTCAGCGGCACATATGGCAGGCGGAAGACTGGCCTCACGAGCCCCAGCTGACACAGTGCAGTGTTGAGACCGATGGGGTTCGGCTCCACGAATAGCCAGTTCACTAGAGGAGCAATTTTCGCATTCAGCTCTGGATTAGGGCCCTTGAGCAGCTGGGTCACGAGTCCTGTTACATGAAGTGATAGGGAAAGAAGAACATCTGAATGCCGTACACAACACATGCTTCATGAAGCTTCACCTTCTGAGTCAGAATGCACAATACAAATAAGAGGACCCTCGCTACACAAGCAGAGTGAGTCACGAAGAAAAAAAAAATCAGGAACTGAAATACAGGGAACGAAGCGGCTTGCCTGGAACGAGATTGCTGACGACGGAGATGACACCTTGACCGCCGTGGTTCCACTTCGCATCATGGAACTGGTCATCGTTGCCGCTCCACGCCACAATGCCCTTCTGTGCGTACCCGCTGATGCGGTCGTTGCCCGCACACTCCTTCACCCCGGCAAAGTTCTCGTGTGTGGCAATGGCCTCAATGACTGAGGGAGGAATGTCCTGCCCCGTTCTGCCCGGCACGTTGTACACAATGGCAGGGCCCATTGGCAGCACCACACTGCAGGGAAGGCGGGGAAGGGGAGGACGGGAAGGGGAGGTGGGGAAGGGGGGTGGGGGGGGGGGGAGTGGGAGCACTCAGAACAATGGCAGGCACCTTGTAGACGATGGATGGGCCAATGGACAGCACCACACTGCAGGGGAGGTGAGGAAGTTGGGGGGAGGTGAGGGGGAAGGCACTAAGGAGTCAGGACAGTGCCTGGCACGTTGTACACAATGCACTCAGGTACCTTCCGCGAATTCTGAGGCGCCCCTTTTGTCAAGTGCTTCAAAACCCCCCGCGAATGCTGAAGAGCCTCTGGGTGCCTCAGAACTCCCCGTCTGGTCATTAAATAAACGCGAATTTTGAAGAGCGTCAACGATTGGCTGCGGCGGAAGGGCGGGAACTTACTCAAAGTGGCTCCGGAGTCCGTCCAGCGACGTCTTGCCGTAGTAGGGGTTGATCTGCAGCGCGGCGTGCATGCCCACGGCGAAGCCCTGCTCCGTGGCGTGCATGGCCTCGCGCGTGCTGTTGCTGCCCGTGTTGCCCACGATCTTGAGCTTGTTCCCGAAGCAGTACACCGAGTGCGCGATCAGCATCACGTGCTCGTCCCAGCTCATCAGGTGCCCCTCGCCCGTGGTCCCGCCCACGATCAACCCCTCTGCACCGTTCTCGATCTGGTGGTGCACCAGCTCGTCGTACGCGTCCAGGTCGAAGCGGCCGTCCGGCAGGTACGGCGTCTTGATGGCCGTTATGAGCGAGAGCGCCTTGATCTGCTCAATGTGCGGCCTGGAACGGAGGCAGAGGGAAAGAAAAAAGTCGTTGGAGAAAGGGGTTGGGAGGAGGGGAGGGGGGGATACAAGAGTGTGAGTTGGGACGCTGGCCGTGATCTGCTCGAAGTGTGGGCTGCGGGGAATGGAGAGTAGAGACGACGGAGGGACTGAGGGGGTTGATGGGGGTGTAAGATGAGGAGTGTGAGTGTGGGATGGAACGGGGGCTTACTTTGATGGATGCGTGGGAGAGAAAGGGATGATGAGGACGGAGTAGGGGAAGGCGAGGATGGATAAATCGGCATGTAAGAGAAGGTATTTGGAGACGGTTACAATATTCACAGCTGTTTTGAGACAATTCCAACCTTCGAGATAAGGCGGGAAAGGAAACCAACTCACGTGTTCCATCTGTTTGTTTATCTGTTATGTAACTCTAATGCTTGCGTATAATCACTCAATTTCTAGCCATTCACCCAGTTCGAATTCCTCGGGCTAATTCATAAGTTCCAGCCAGACCGAGTTGCCGCCGAAAACATGAAAGCATCATGGACGTGCATTATAAGCCGCTCAAGAACAAACGGAAGGAGAGGCCTCGAAGATAAAAGGCACACGGCGAAATTTTTATCCTCACCCTCTCTTCTGCTCCTCCAACCCGGCGACAAAGCTCGAAAAACACTCCAAATACTTCCCCATTTCAACCTGGAATCAAGGAGGCTAAGAAAACTGCGGGGTGCTACTAAAAAACCAGAACAACAGGACAAGGTCACGACTTACATGATCACAGCTAGACGTGCAAGGGTTTAGAGTTCTCCTTCTTTGTTGCTTCAATATTACGACTCGAAAGAGCCAGAATTACGATGTATAGGAACTGGGACGTACAGGTTTCGCTCCTCGTGGCTCTTCATCGGTACCGGCGGCGTCTCCATCATCGCCGCACGCAGCGACAGCCGACAGCCGTTGGATCTCCGGGTGCTTGCTGCGTTCAACGGCATCTTAACGGCGCTCGCAAATTCCGCACTTCTCGTGAAGGACGACTGCCCTAGCTTGATGTCGCGACACCGCACGGCTCCCACATCCAGGGACATGCTGGCGGCCATGAGCGGCGGTTGCGAGAGAAGCGGGAAGATTGAGCTACTAATGGATAACTACCACACTCTTCAAAGAAAATGCCAGATGCGAGGACTCTGGCCTGGGTCTTGTACGAAGCAACGGCAACACTAGTTACAGGAAGGAGCGTGTTAGTCCCAAAAAGGGAGTGTTTCGACGCTGCAGGCACTGCGGTAGAGTGAGTAGAAACTCCCAGCAAGAACGATGAGGTGATGAAATCTAGGAAGGGAGAGGGGTGGGATCAAATTTGAGGCGAAGGGTGAGCTTTACGGGATAAGCTCTGCCAGCACAAAGTTCCCTTTTTCGCGCAAGAATCTGCTACACAAACTCCTTTTCCGAGGCTGCCCGTAATACTTTGTGCTTTCCATTGGTTGACAGCGAGAGCAAAATGTGAAAACAGACCAAGATTCGACCAGCGCGCCCAATCAGAGTACCACTGCTCTCTGACGTGGACGAGCACTCGAACAAGGAGCGTTTGATACCGAGGGCTTTGATTGGTCAGGGCTTTTCAGCCGGAATTGATGCGTAAATCCGCTCAGGAACTATTCGATTAGAAGCGTGAATTCTGATGTACGCAAGGTCTGTAGAATGTGGGTTTCAACTTTCAGCAGACATACCGTACTGAACCTCCTTGGAAAACTGTATATTACTACTACCAGCTGGCTACTAGCTCTGCATACATGCTACTGGCTCAAATATGACTTCAGAAAGGGTTTGGCAGTGTTATTGAGCCAAGACTACATATGCTCCAGCGAAGTCGTCGATGCCTTCGATTCGACCTGCGCCGTCCTCAAAGGTGTTTGAGGATGATACGCCTACATACATTCGACCTAACTCACCCTGTTAGGGCGTACTGACTTCGTGGTGAGTGCGTTTCAGGAATTTTCATTTCCTAAGCACTGGAATGAAAGGCGAAATCTCCCTCTCAAGCTCCTCCATGCTCCTCTCAAGCTGCTCCTGGAAATCCCTATCATCTTCTGTCACGGCCCGCCCGTGCACCGCCACCGCTCGCTTGCACACCACCACAAACTGCACGATCGCATCTGTCAATGTCTCAACACCCGACGGTGACTGAAGCTTCGACGGGTCCTTGGGTCTCGGCTCCTGGCCATGAGGATTGGCCTCGTAGAAAGCCATACATACACCCAGCACCCCGCTGTTAACCTGCAACGCAACACTCCCTTGCAGCAACCGCTGCAGCGTCTGTATCCGGGGCAGCCGTAGTGTCCCGCCGGCTGTTGCAGCTGCTGCGATCAGTGCTGTCACTGCTGCTGGGTCCTGTGGCACACGTCCCCCTCCTCCCCCTCCTCCCATTCCTCCCCCTGCTCCTCCCGCAGCTCCCAGCTGGCTCGCCATTTCCATCTCTAGTGCATGCGACCTGTTTTCAATAATCTCCACGGCGCATTGCAGCGGCGAGTACTCCCGAACCTCCGACCGAACCACCGGCTGCCGGCTGATCAGGCTCGGCAGCGTGCTCTGGGTGTACACCAGCGTCCGCCTCTTCCACTGGTCCTCCATCCGCCCATGCTGCTTCCCATTTGGTGTGAACGGCGTGTCAAAAAAGAAGCAATTAAACACCGGAGCTCCCGCCACGGCTGGGTCGATGGTTCGGCCGAGCCAGCGGTCATCGCCGATCCCAACGACAGGCTCGACGGCAGTGATCTGCATGTAGACGAAGCCGGGCTTGAGGGTGGCGGGGTCCACCTGGCGAGAGTCCTGGATGACGTGGAGCGGCTCCTCGTCCGGCTCCCGCGCGTCGTAGAGCGATTTCAACTTCTCCATGATGTCTCCCAGCCGTACCTCCCGAGGCTCCCGGTAGATGAACTCCCTGCATTTACAAAGGGGATTGACATGGGTATCGTTACGGAGAACGGACGCCCTCGTCTGGCTCGCGTGCGTCGTAGAGCGATTTGAGTTTCTCCATTATGTCTTCCAGCCGTACCTCCCGAGGCTCCCGGTAGATGAACTCCCTGCGGTTGACAAGGGGATTGGCATGGAGATGGGCATGGAACAGAGGCTTCTTGTTGTATCCAGGGTTCAGCCCCTACAATATGTCTCCCAGCCGTACCTCCCGAGGCTCCCAGTAGATGAATACCCTGCAGGTGGATGGGAAATGGAAGAGGATGGCATGGGGATGAGCGTGTGGATGGGAAGCAGATGCTGTGCAGCTTGTACGACGATTCAACAATGACGAGAGGATAGGTTCGATGAGGATGGATGAACATTGAAGCAACCTAAGGCCGGCAAGGGGCTCCAAGTAGCTCACCTGCCATCAATGTATCCAAATCGTTCCCCATAAAAGCCGATTCGATAGTATGTTGCGTCCTTGAAGGGGATTGGGTTCTGCTCCTGAGCCAGCACGTTGTCGTAGATACCTGAGAGCGACGTGTGGCACTTGGACAACTGCACAAGGGAACAAGAGAGGGATGTATAGAGTAGGAATGTGAGAGAATTGAGAGAGAAAGGGGATGTAAATACGCATGGTGAGCCGCTTTGTTGTAGATGCCTGAGAGCAACGTGTGGCACTTGGACAGCTGCAGCACAAGGGCAGAAGAGAGGGATGCAGAGAGTAGGAATGTGAGTGAAGGGAGAGAGCAAGGGGGGCTCAATACTCATGATGTGTCGATTTCTCGTAGATGCCTGCGAGCAACACGGAGATGAGGAGAGTAGATGTGTGAAGGGGGGAGTGGAGGTGGGGGTGGGCGGGGAGCAGGAAGATGGCCTTTTCAGCGTATTCTCCCCAACATGACTCCATGATCACATGAGGTACATTGTAGACACACAACCCCCGGAACAGGCAACAACTGGATGACCCTGCTGCCAGAGGGTAGCTACACTTGGATTTCTTTGAGTCAGCTCAATAAGGAGCCATCCTTACCTGGTAAAAGTCGCGGCACAAGCGATAGACAGGGATGATGAGGAAGAGCATTCCAGCGCAGAAGAGCTCTCAGCACACGCCTGGCAATGTACACCTCATGCGTACTAAGGATGCCCCGAACGCACGCACATCCAGCCACAGAGGGACACGTACCTGGTAAAATTCCCCTGGGGATGCTACTGGGGATGCTGCATTCCTCACCTGGTAGAAGTCGTGGCTGAAGCGGAAGACGGGGATGGTGAGGGAGAGCATCTCAGCGCAGAAGAGCTCTCAGCACACGACTGGCAATGTATACTGCATGCGTACCAAGGAATGCCCCGAACGCACACACACCCAGCCCCAGAGGGACACGTACCTGGTAGAAGTCGCGGCGGAAGCGGAAGACGGGGATGGTGAGGGAGAGCATTTCAGCGCAGAAGTGGAAGAGCTCGGCCTTGGCAAAGAAGCTGGACGCCATCTGCAGGTACTTCACCGCGCTGTCCGTGTTCAGACACGTCGCCCCAAAGTCACTCTCCTCCCCTCCCCCTGCTGCCGCGCCCGCGCTGCCCCCGCCCGCAGCGCCCTTGGAGGCGCTGTTGGGGAGGCGGGGGCGGGCGGAGGGGCGCGAGGGACGGGCGCGCCACTGGTGGCGGGCGAGAGGGCAGACTCGCCAGAGGAGCTCCAGGTGTTCGGCCTCCCACGCGCACTCCCTCGTGGTGGACGCGTGCAGGCCCTGTGGGGTGGTGACACAGGTTGTGAGGAGGCAGGGATGGGAGAAATTGGTTTTACTGGAAGTATGTGCGATGTGAGTTGGATGCAAAGGCAAATGCACACTAGGTAACCTCAGGCCACTAGATCATCTCCCAGTTAAATGACGTGCTCCCGTACACCGCAACCACCCCACACCTATCCCCGCCCTACTTAACCCAAAAACCAGCGTCTGTGTGGCTCACCCGAATGACCACCCCCGCCACAGAGACAGCACACTGGGCGGCCTCGGCCCACTGGCTCATCTCCTGGTGCGCCTCACAGAGGTGCAGCATCCACATGATGTAGAGGTCCGGCACGTGCCCGTACGCCTGCGCCAGGATGTAGTAGCTCTCCACTATGGCATATCGATCATTGGACGTCTTCAGCCCCTCCATCTGCATCGGGGAAGGGAGGGGCCACACAGGGAGAGGAAGGAGAGTCACAGGGAGATGGACGGAGTGGGGGAATTTGAGTCACAAGAATTGATTTCGTGCCACATGTCTGGAGAAGAGAGGATTCGCTCAACATGTCTGGAGAAGAGAGGATTTGCTAAACATGTCTGGAGAAGAGAGGATTCGCTCAACATGTCTGGAGAAGAGAGGATTTGCTCAACATGTCTGGAGAAGAGAGGATTCGCTCAACATGTCTGGAGAAGAGAGGATTCGCTCAACATGTCTGGAGAAGAGAGGATTCGCTCAACATGTCTGGAGAAGAGAGGATTCGCTCAACATGTCTGGAAGTGGAGCACGAGTTGCAATGCCTGTTGGAAAGCTAGAATTGATACATTGAATAATGAGCCAAGAGGCTCTTTAGTACAAACAATAAGCAAGAGAGAGATGAGAGGGAAGCTTACCCTATTAGCCAATAAGTTGGCCAATGGGTGAGCTTGCTTGTGACCCAAGCAACCACAAATGTGTGTTGGTTGGGATTGGTTGAGCTAAGGACCAATCCCAACAACCACAAAATGTGGTTGGAGGGTACACTAAGCAACCCCCTAATTTATAAATGTGCTACACTTCTAGCCTATGTATGTTGTATGAAATATGAAATTACAACACAACCCCCCAACATGCATAAGGCTAGAAGGCTAGAATCAAGAGGCGGGAGGCGACTTAGGAGGAGTGAGGCCAAGAAGACGAAGTAGGAAAGAGTGAGCGGCATGAGGAAGAGCTTTTGTGAAGATGTCGGCAAGGTTGGCCGCCGAGTCAACCTTGTCGAGGCGAAGGTGCCCCGCCTGAACAAGATCGCGAATGAAGAAATGACGGAGCTCAATATGCTTGGAGCGCCCGTGAAACACAGCATCTTTGGTGAGGTGAATGGTACTAGCATTGTCACACGAAATTGTGGGACAGCGCTGGGGGGCACCAAGTTCCTCAAGAAGGAAGGTGAGCCAGCGGGCCTCTTGCGCAGCCATGGTGGCGGCATACAATTCCGCCTCGCAGGAGGAGAGGGCTGCAGCCGAGGAGCGGGTGGAGCGCCAGCTGATAAGGCCGCTGCCAAGAGAGAAGCCATAGTCCTGGGAGGAGCGACGATCTGGCCGGGAATCAGCCCAGGAGGAGTCACTGTAGCCGCTGAGGAGAGGTGGGGAGGGGCCGCCAAGGGTAAGGACATAGTCCTTGGTGCCACGAAGGTACCGGAGGACACGCTTGGCGGCCTGCCAGTGCTCTTCCGTATGCTTGCCTGCGCCAACAAAACGAGCGAGGACGCTGATGGGGTAGGCAAGGTCAGGGCGAGTGGAGACCATGGCGTACATGAGGGAGCCGATGAGCTCGGGATAAGGATGGGAGGAGGCTGAGGGGGAGGTGGGTGGAGAGAGGTGGTGCCCGACAGAAAGAGGAGTAGGTTGGGCGCCACCGCGGACCATGTCAAACCGCTCCAAGACCTGCTGCAAGTAATGACCCTGGGAGAGAGAGATGGTGCGGGCGGAGCGGTCGCGGGTGATGGTCATGCCCAGGTAATGCTGCAGCTCACCCAAGTCCTTGCACTTGAGACGGCTGCCCAACTCAGCCTTAGCACGCTCTAATTCGCCAAGGTCGGCAGTGAGCAGAATCATGTCATCGACATACACAAGGATGTAGAACGGGGAGGGGAAGGTGCGAAGGAAGAGGCCGGCGTCAGAGCGGGAGGTGCGGAACCCAAGTTCAGCAAGGGTGGCGGCAAGCTTAGCATGCCACTCTCTCGGGGCCTGTCGAAGCCCATACACAGGGCGACGCAGCTGCCAGACAGAGTCTACAGGGAAGGGAAGGTGAAAACCGGCTGGACGCTCCATGTAGATAAGCTCGCGGAGGACGCCTTGGAGGAAAGCGTTAGAAACGTTCATCGAGTGGATCTCCATATTGAGGCGAGCGGCGAGGTCGAGCACGGCGCGAACAGTAGCAGGCTTGGCAGTGGGAGAGAAGGTATCGAAGAAGTCAAAACCATACCGCTGCGTGAACCCCTTGGCACAGTAACGAGCCTTATAGACGGGCGGCTCCCCTGGCAGCTGTTTGACGCGAAACACCCACTTCCCTTTCACCACGTTCGTAGAGGAGGGAGGGCGAGGCACATCAACGAAGGAGGAGTTGGCGACAAAGGCCTCCAGCTCCTTGATAATGGCGGCGAGCCAGAGTGGGGCGTCGGGGCAAGCCATGGCCTCCTCATACGTGGTAGGGATGAAAACGGAGGGAGCAGAGGAGAATGCGAATACTGGTGTCCCAGAAAGGTCGAAGGTGATGGGTAGAAGGGAAGGGTCACAGAGGTGGAGGTCAAGGAACTCCTCATGTGAGTCCTCGGAGAGGGAGGTGTGGAAGGAGCGGATGACCGTTGGTGCCGCTGGTGCCGCTGCACGTGCCGCTGCTCGTGCCGCTGCTGGTGCCGCTGCTGGTGCCGCTGCTGGTGCCGCTGCTGGTGCCGCTGCTGGTGCCGCTGCTGGTGCCGCTGCTAGTGCCGCTGCTGGTGCCGCTGCTGGTGCCGCTGCTAGTGCCGCTGCTGGTGCCGCTGCTGGTGCCGCTGCTGGTCCCGCTGCTGGTCCCGCTGCTGGTGCCGCTGCTGGTCCTGCTGCAGGTGCCGCTGCTGGTCCTGCTGCTGGTGCCGCTGCGGGTGCCGTTGCGGACGCTGCTGCTGGCGCCGCTGCTGGAGAGGTGGCAGAGGGGGCTGCTGCAGGAGGAGGTTGATGCAGAACAGCCTGGAAGAAGTGGTGAAGGAGAGGGGAGAGTGGGGGGAGGGTAGAGGTAGAGAGGGTAACAGCAGGGGGCGGTGCACCAAGGATACTGTCACGTGACCTGGTATGGGGGTACCGGGTAAGTACGGTGCGGGGAGGGGGGGAAGGACGAGTCGGCGGCGAGGGAGGTGAAGGAGGGGCGGGAGGGGCACTAGGAGAGGAATGTGTGGGGGAGACGGGAGAGGACAGAGGTTCCGGGTCAAATATATCACCAGACGAGGGAGGGGCACCGTGGGATGGGGACGACGGTGGGGGGGGAGGAGGGAGGATGGGGGGAGGAGGAAGTAGTGGGGGAGGGGTGGTGTCAGACCAGACAAGGGGACGGGGAAGACGGGGGAGTGGGTCAGTGGATGGGGGAGAGGAGTAGTAGGGAGTGGACTCATCAAAGACCACATCCCTACTGCGGAATAGACGACCTGAGGGGGGATGGAGGAAAAGGGAGTCAGGTGAGGAGGTGTTATGACCAAGAAAGATGCAGGGAAGGGTACGAGGGGCAAGCTTTCCCATAGAGCGGGAGCGGTCAGTGGGGTGAAGGAGAACATAAGCCTTTGAGCCCCAGACACGAAGAGACGAGACATCAGGTTTGTTGTTCGTCCACAGCTCAGTGGGGGTGGTGGATGGGAGTAGAGGGTGAGGGTAAAGGTTAGTAAGGAGGGCGGCATGAAGGAGGGCGTAGCCCCACAGAGAAGGAGGGCAGGAGGCGTGGACAAGAAGACACCGGGCAGTTTTGGTGATCTCTCGAACACGACTTTCAGCCACACCGTTCTGCTGTGGGGAGTGAGGGAGGGTGTAAGTCTGAAGAATGCCATGAGACTGACAATAGGAGGATATTTGGTTGTTAAGGAACTCACCACCACCATCAGAGTGAAGGCGGCGAACAGGGCGCCCAAAATGGGTATTTGCCCGCTCGAGCCAGGCGATGATCGCAGCCGGGGCATCTGCCTTCGTCCGAAGGAGAGAGACGGACGAGTACCGACTGTGATCATCGACGAGTACGAGGAGGTATCGATGGCCCTGGCGAGTGGGAGAGGGATTGGGGCCCCAGAGGTCCATGTGAACAAGATCAAGTGGCTGAGCAGCAGCGGAGGGGGTGCTCCGGTGCGGCTGCTGCTTGAGCTTGCTCTGAACGCAGACGGTGCAGGGGGGGGCAGGGGATTGGGGAGGGGAGGGAGGGAGGAGGGGAGACCGTGGAGGAGACCGGTGGAAACAGAGGAGCGTAGAGTAGCGAAGTTAGGGTGACCTAGCCTGTGATGGAGGAGGACGGCAGGGTGGGAGAGGGAGCGACAGGAGCAGGAGGAGTCAAGGGGGGGGCGGGAAGGGAGGTCCGGGTTAGTGGGAGGGAGAGGAGGAGGTGGGATGAGAGGGTGGAGGGGGGGACGAGAGATGACCTGACAGGAGGGGAGGCGAGGAACCCGAAGGGTGTACAGACGGGAGCGAGGGCAAAAGGGAATGCGAGAAAGGAACTGACCGGTGGCGGAATGGTAGAGAGCGCAATAGTTAGCATGAGCTGGGAATACTGTGTTGATACCGGCTTGCTGAAGGGACCTTTGCGAAAGGAGATTAGCGCGAAGAGAGGGTATGTGGAGACCGGTGACAGTGCCTGAGGGGAAGAGTGGGCAGGGGAGAGTTGAGGTGTTATGGCAGGGGATAGAGAAGCTGTTGTCGGCGCCAAGGAGGGAGGTAGGCGTTGGGAGGGGGCGCAAGGTGCCAGCATCGCGAAGACCTGTGTCAGTGGCGCCGCTGTCGATGACAAAATCGACAGTGGAGGAGAGGGAGGAGGAAGGGACAGAGGACTGGAACGCAGTTTCGTTAGTGCTAGAGGAGTTTGTGGCAGGTGCAGTTGATGTGGCTTGATTGACCATACCAGCGATACCAACGGATGAGAAAGGTGGGACGATGCTTGAAGTGGCGGAGCTTGTGGAACAATGCGGAACTGAGTTCTGCTGGGAAGTTGGGGGAGGAGGAGGAAGAGGCAGCTGCGGTTGTAGGTCAAGGTGCTGATGCAGGCGGTGAAGCAACTGCTGGAGCTGGAGGAGGAGGTGCCAGAGCTGCTGCTGGTGCTGCTGTTGCTGCCGTTGCCGTTGCTGCTGCTGCTGCGGAGGAGGAGGAGGAGGAGGAGGAGGAGGAGGAGGAGGAGGAGGAGGAGGAGGAGGAGGAGGAGGAGGAGGAGGAGGAGGAGGAGGAGGAGGTAGAGAGAAGGGTTGACTCGGGGCATGGTGGGCTTGGGTGGAGAGTTTACACTGAAGTCCCCGAGTCGGGCCATAGCGAGGCACATATTCACGAGGAGAGAAGGCTGCTGCTGCGCCGCAGCCTGCGCTCAAACCCCTGACACCACAATATCCTGCGAGTCTCCCTTGACCACCACCACAGCTGCCACTATGCCCTCCTCCATGCCCACCGGCACCACTGCTGATGCATGCCAGTGCGACTGTTGCCATGGGGGAAGCAATGTGGGGTGTGGGCGGTCACGGCATGGCGCAGGCGAGCAGGGCATGAAGGTGTGCGCAGGCAGCTGACGGTATGCGCAGGCGGGTGTGCTGTATGTGCTCCCAGGTGTGCGGTATGTGCTGTCAGGTGTGCGGTATGTGCTGTCAGGTGTGCGGTATGTGCTGTCAGGTGTGCGGTATGTGCTGTCAGATGTGCTGTATGCACGTGCTGATGTGTTGTATGCCAGGGAGGTGGGCAGGGGGCGGACGAGGGGAGGGGGACAGCGAGCGGGGAAGGAGGGCGTGCAACGAGTGCGCGGACGGGGAGAGTGTGGACGACCGGAGCGCGGACGAGCAGGGCGTGCAGACGAACAGGGCGCGCGGACGGCCAGGGTGCGGATGACTAGGGCGCGCGGACGGGGAGGGCGCGGACGAGCAGGGCGTGCGGACGGGCAGGGCGGGGACGCGAAGGGCGGACGAGCAGAGTGCGGACGACCAGGGCGCGCGGTCGGACTAGCAAGGGCGTGCGAGTTGCAGATCTGAGCACGCGGAATGCAGATTTGGGCGCGGGAGAGTAGATCTGAGTGCGGAATGTGCAGATCTGAGCGCGAAATGCGCAGATCTGAGGGCAGGAGGAGTAGAGCAGGGCGCGGGAGGAGTAGATCTGAGCTCGGGAGGAGGAGATGTGAGCTCGGGAGGAGTAGATCTGAGTTCGGGAGGAGTAGATCTGAGCTGGGGAGGAGTAGATCTGAGCTCGGGAGGAGTAGATCTGAGCTCGGGAGGAGTAGATCTGAGCTCGGGAGGAGTAGATCTGAGCTCGCGAGGAGTAGATCTGAGCTCGGGAGGAGTAATTCTGAGCTCGGGAGGAGTAGATCTGAGCTCGGGAGGAGTAGATCTGAGATTGGGAGGAGTAGATCTGAGCTGTTGAGGAGTAGATCTGAGCTCGGGAGGAGTAGATCTGAGCTCGGGAGGAGTAGATCTGAGCTGGGGAGGAGTAGATCGGAGCTCGGGAGGAGGAGATGTGAGCTCGGGAGGAGTAGATCTGAGCTTGGGAGCACCATAGTAGGACTACGTCTGAGGGACGGGGAGGAGAGGGTGGCCTAAGGACCGAGGGATCAAGGCGTGAGCCAATAGCTCATGATACCATGTTGGAAAGCTAGAATTGATACATTGAATAATGAGCCAAGAGGCTCTTTAGTACAAACAATGAGCAAGAGAGAGATGAGAGGGAAGCTTACCCTATTGGCCAATAATTTGGCCAATGGGTGAGCTTGCTTGTGACCCAAGCAACCACAAATGTGTGTTGGTAGGGATTGGTTGAGCTAAGGACCAATCCTAACCAACCACAAAATGTGGTTGGAGGGTACACTAAGCAACCCCCCAATTTAGAAATGTGCTACACTTCTAGCCTATGTATGTTGTATGAAATATGAAATTACAACAATGCCACATCCACCAGGATAAGCAGACTTTTCAGGCGCCTCAAAACAGCGTATCCTGCAACTCCTGAATCCAGACTTGGAGACGAAATTGAGTGATCAGTCAACTACTCGTGCTGTAAAGCCGCCACAAACTCACCAGCTGCTCGTGCTGTGAGGCGGCGTCCACAACGGTGAGCAGCATGTCCTGCAGCTCACGCACGTTCTTCCTCGACCAGAATACCACACTGAGTGATACCTACCTACCTGTGTTGTGAGGCATTACTCTTACCAGCTGCTCATGCTGTGAGGCAGCGTCCACAACAGTGAGCAGCATGTCCTGCAGCTCATCCACGTTCTTCCTCGACCACCGGTCCCGAATCCTCCTCTCCCTCCTCCTCCCCCTCCTCCCCCTCCTCCGCCGCCTCCTCCGCCCATTCTCCCCATCATACTCATCCAAATCATCAAACTCCTCCTCCTCCTCATCCTCCTCATCATAATCATCCTCATCCTCCTCTTCATCCTCCTCCTCATCCTCCTCTTCATCATCCTCATCCGCCTCATCAGCCTCCTCATCCCCCACCATAATCTCAAGACACATGTCCGGAAGCCCGCTCTCTGCCAGCAACCCGAACCACGTCTCTTCCGAGCCTAGCTCCTCCAATGAGAAGCGCAGCCGCTCCACCTCGAGAGACTCGGTGATCTCCCCGGGCCTGGCGCCGCGCTGCAGCAGGCGCAGCTGCATCATGACTTCGGAGAGAGCGACTGTGAAGATGACCCGCAGGTGGTGCACGTTGCCCATGTGTAGCAGGGCCGTCTGGTGGGTAAGGGAGGGGAAGGCGGGATGGGGGGAGGAGGGTGGAAGGGGGAATGGGAACGGGGGATAGCAACGGTGGGGAGCTCGAAACAGTGCAGCTCCGATAGTGGGCTGGGCAGATGGAGAGGAAAACTTCAAAACATTTCCTTGAGCTGCGCGTCGTTTTCTCTGCTTCTTGCGAGCTCGTTCTGCCTTGAAACTTTGAGCTCTGCTGATTTTCGATCAACTCACCCGCAGCAGCAGCAGCAGGCAGAGCAGTGCTCGCTTGCGCACAAACTCGGGCTTCACAATGAGGCGCTTGAGCAGGTTGCCAAACATGTCCTTGAGGCGCGCGTCATTCGCCTTGCTGCTCGCCAGCATTGCACGGCCGTGCAGCCGCAGCATCTCTGCAAAGGCCGGCACAAACACCTCCCAGAACGACACCGGCTGGCCAGGAGGAGACGGAGGGGATGGCAGAGCACGGTAGAGAGAGTTCACAAGTTGTAGGGGAGTGCGTATAAAAAAACAAGGGATTTCTGTGTGCACAGTGCAGCCAAAACATATCTACCAAAGTTGGCGCAAGCATCTCCCAGAACAACACTGGCTGACCAGCAACAGAACAAGGAGGCAACATAGAGTGAGGGGCAAGAGAAGGGTGTGGAAGGGAAGAGAGGCAAGGCACAAAACAAACACAGAAGGCACTACCTGGTGCAAGCTTCTGGCAGGTGTTTACCTGGGGCAAGCTCCGAGAAGGTGTTACCTGGGGCAGGTTGAGAGCAGGTGTTACCTGGGGCAGGTTGAGAGCAGGTGTTACCTGGGGCATGCTGAGAAGCGCGGAGATGGGGCCGGTGAGGCAGTCCATGGTGTCATAGTCCGTGACCACCGCGCCCTCTGCTGCCAGGTCGCTGAACTGCTCCAGCACCTCCAGTACTTGCAGTGACACCCACCCCGCCATTGTGGCCTCCCACATGGCCTGGGGTGCGTGGGATGGAGAAATGCACAAGAAAGGGTCAAGATGAGCAAGGAGGGCGAGGCAGCACTCCTCACCTAACTGCTCCAGCACCTCCAGTACTTGCAGTACCTGCAGAGCAGGGATGCCCACCCTGCCATCTCCGCTTCCTACATGGCCTGAGCTGAGAGGGGTGAGGGCGATCGGAAAGGTAAGGGATGGAGGGAAGTGAAAACTGCTTAATTACTATACCCCCAAAACGGCTACTGTAAGCTCAGTATGGGATTTGGCAACATGGGCATGGGAAGCAGAGGGCTGGGACCTGGCAACTTTTCAGAACCTTCTATGGTACCTCCAAGCTGGAGTCTGCTGAAAACCGGAGGGCCAAGAAGGTCTAAATTGGTTCAACCTTCCTAACTTCGGTTGAGTTTGGCCCTGACACCCAAAGTCTTTGCCAATTGCATTGCTCGCCCCAACCAACCTTCATAAGGTTGAACTTCTTGGCCCGCGGGTTTCAAGGGAAAAGAGGGGGGAAATTCCTAAGCCCGATAAACAACCATAAGGCAGATTGAAATCGGCTCACTCACCAGCTTCTCGGAAGCAACGGGCGGCAAGCCTTGTCTGAGAATGGTCATGGCTTCCAACGGCGCCACCCGGGCGCGCCTCAGCTCCTCCCGCAGCGGCACGGGCGGGCGGGCAGTAGGCGGTGGTGTTGCGACTGTGGAGGATACACCGCTGTACTTGCGCACCAGCTGCTCCCGCTCGCCACTCCCCTGAAGGATGAAGGGAGGGAAAGGGGCAAAAGAGCACAGGGACGGGGAAGGGAGGGGTGGTTTGCTGCAACGGTGCGGCAGTGGAGAATAGCCCGCTGTAGTTGCGCACCAGCTGCTCCCGCTCGCCACTCTCCTGGAGGAAGAGGGGCGTGGGGGTGGGGTGGGGGGTGTGGAGGAGCAGAACAGCAGAGGGATGGGAGGCCGGGCAGTAGGCTGCAAGGGTGCGACGGTGGAGAATAGCCCGCTGTACTTGCGCACCAGCTGCTCCCGCTCGCCACTCCCCTGAAGAAAGACGGGTGGGGTTGGGGGGGGAAGAGGTGGGAAGGAAAAGGACGGAGGAGCAGAGGGATGGGGGGGGGTGGGTGGGACTGGCAGGCTGTGGTGGTGCAGCAGTGGAGATTTTCTAGGCGCCTCAAAAAATGGGACTGGCAGGCTGTGGTGGTGCAGCAGTGGAGGATAGCCCACTGTACTTGCGCACCAGCTGCTTCCGCTTGCCACTCTCCTTCAGGAAGAGGGAAGGCAGGGGCGGGACAGTAGAGTGACAGAGAGAATTGGAGGGGCCAGGGACATGTGGGGAATTGGGAATGGCAGGAGAGCTTTGTTGGGGCTCGTCCTGCAGCAATATCGGTGGGCGGTGCTGGGAGGTCAATCAAATCAAAGTGGAAGGTGGGTTGGGGAGAAAGCAAACGACACCATGAAATCCGACAGTGCCATGCCTTCGAGAGGGTCGTTCGCAGGCCCCAAACCAAGGAGACCTGTGATGTGAGTACGCTTCGCCATGACCCAATCAGCTCACAACACTCTCCTCCTGATACAAGGCCATTTTTTAGACGTCTCGAAAATAACCTTGTGTCAAGGAGACCTGTGATGTGAGTATGGTCTGAAAAATAACCTTGAGTCAAGGAGACTTGTGATGTGAGTTTGCTCCACCATGACCCAAACAGCTCATGACATCTCCTCCTCCCCCACCTTGGGACTCGTCGAGCGCCATGTTGTAAAGCGAGTCGCTGGCTCCCAAGGAGACTTTCGAGTCAAACCATGGCACTCTCGTCCCAAGCCACCCTCCCACCCACGGCACAGCACTCTTCTTCTCCCCACCTTGGGGATCTATCTGACAGCGCCATGTTGTCAAATGAATCATTGGCGGACAGGGAGACTTCTAGGTCGACCCACAGCACCCTCCTCCCAAACCCACCCACAGCGCAGCACTCACTCTCCCCACCTTGGAATCTGCGAGCGCCATGCTGTCAAGTGAGTCATTGGCGGACAAAGAGACCCGGTCTGAGTAGAGGGGGAAGGGCGGCAGCTCCCCCTCACTGCCGCCCTTGCGCCCCTTGCCGTCCAGGCTGTGATGGTTGCGCACCACTGCCCCCAGCTCGCCCGTGCTCACCCCCGTGCGACCTGTGTACTGTTGGGGTTGGGGGTGGGAAAGAAGGTGTGGGAGAAGATGTGGAGGAAACAGATGAGCTCCCCATGTGCCCCCCCTTGCCGTCCAGGCTGTGGTGTTGCGCACCACTGCCCCCAGCTCGCCCGTGCTCACTCCCGTCCAGCCCGTGTACTGGTGGGGGGGAGAGGGGGGGAGGGGGAGCGTGGGGGTAGGAAACAGATGGGGTCCCCTTGCGCCCCATGCCGTCCAGGCTGTGATGGTTGCGCACCACTGCGCCGAGCTCGCCTGTGCTCACCCCCGTGCTCACCCCCGTGCGACCCGTGTACTGTCGGGGTTGAGGGGTGGAGAAGGTGTGGGGGAAGGTGTGGAGGAAACAGATGAGCTCCCCTTGTGCCCCCCCTTGCCGTCCAGGCTGTGATGGTTGCGCACCACTGGCCCCAGCTCGCCCGCTCACCCCCGTGCGGCCCGTGTACTGGTGGGGGGAGAAGGGGGGGAAGGGGGGGAAGGGGGGGAGGGGGAGTGTGGGGGTAGGAAACAGATGGGCCCCCCTTTCGCCCCTTGCCGTCCTGGCTGTGATGGTTGCGCATCACCGCCCCCCGTTCCCCCGTGCTCACTCCTGTGCGCCCCGTGCTCACTCCTGTGCGCCCCGTGAACTGGTGGTGAGAGGAAGGGGTGGACGGTGGGTGAGGAGAAAAGAGAAGGGGGATGGTGGGGGGTAGATGAACGGAGATTCAGAAGAAGAGAGCTGAAAGAGAACAAAAAACACACAAAGAACGCAAAGCACTGTCCAACTGAGAGAAAGAACGACTCATGCAGCTGCGAAAGCAGGGGGCGGGCGGCACACGGTGTGGCGGGGCGGCGGCAGCCTTCACCTGGAAGAGGAAGAGCGACTCCTGCAGCAGCGAGAAGAAGAGCTGAGTGCGTGCAGCACTGTGCTTCCACGCCTTGAGCAGCACCTCGCTGTCCACATGCCGCCAGCACTGCCAGCACCCACCTGCCGCTCCTGCAGCCCTCACCTGGAAGAGGAAGAGCGACTCCTGCAGCAGCGAGAAGAAGAGCTGTGTGCGTGGGGCACTGTGCTTCCATGCCTTGAGCAGCGTCTCGCTGTCCACATGCCGCAGCACCGCCAGCACTGCCACCACCACCTGCCGCTTCTGCAGCACCCCCAGGCGCGTGAACACACGCGGGTCGTCTAATAACTGGGGGGGAAATTGGGTGGAAGATAGGGCGGGCGGGCAGGAGAATGGGACGATCGACAGCGCCTCATAAGCAGCACTACCAGCACTGCCACCACCACCTGCCGCTTCTGCAGCACCCCCAGGCGCGTGAACACGCGTGGGTCGTCTAATAACTGGTGGAAAAATTGGGGCGGAGGGAGGAGGATGGGCATGAGAGTGGGGGCAGGGGCAGGGAAAGGGAGATAAGATAGCAATGCAGAATGACCATGGGAATTCGCCTGAATGAGTTAAGATGAGCATGAACATGGCTGGCCACGGACATTGACCAGCCCACCGGACAAGATATGGCCCACCTGGTTGGCTACGAGGAAGTAGACTGCAACCTGCAGGGTTTGAGATGTGCCCAGACCGTGCCAAGAAGGCTAGTTAGAAGCAGCTCCCCTGGGTGACTAACTAGAGTGCACCTGGGTAACTAGCACGCACCTGGGTGACTAGTGCGCAACTGGGTGACTAGTGTGCACCTGGGTGACTAGAGCGCACCTGGGTGACTAGAGCGCACCTGGGTGACTAGTGCCCACCTGGGTGGGTGACTAAAGCGCACATGTGCCCACCTGGGTGACTAGAGCGCACCTGGGTGACTAGTGTGCACCTGGGTGACTAGTGCGCACCTGGGTGACTAGTGTGCACCTGGGTGACTAGTGCGCACTTGGGTGACTAGTGCCCACCTGGGTGACTAGTGCCCACCTGGGTGACTAGTGGTGCCCACCTGGGTGACTAGTGCGCACCTGGGTGACTAGTGCGCACCTTGGTGACTAGAGCGCACCTGGGTGACTAGTGCCCACCTGGATGACTAGTGCGCGACTGGGTGACTAGTGCGCACCTGGGTGACGATGGGGAAGTAGAGCTGCGAGATGTAGAGCTTGAGGTCCGGCTGCTGGTAGCGCGCGTCGTACTCGTGCTTGGCCAGCAGGAAGGTCAGCCTGCGCGACGCCTGTGAGGGCGGGGCGGGGACACAAGTGGGTGAGGACGGGTGGCTGTCGAGTTTTGAGACATCTCAAAACTCGTGCTTGGCCAGCAGGAAGGTCAGCCTGCGCGACGCCTGTGAGGGCGGGGCGGGGACACAAGTGGGTGAGGACGGGTGGCTGTCGAGTTTTGAGACATCTCAAAACTCGTGCTTGGCCAGCAGGAAGGTCAGCCTGCGCGACGCCTGTGAGGGCGGGGCGGGGACACAAGTGGGTGAGGACGGGTGGCTGTCGAGTTTTGAGACATCTCAAAACTCGTGCTTGGCCAGCAGGAAGGTCAGCCTGCGCGACGCCTGTGAGGGCGGGGCGGGGACACAAGTGGGTGAGGACGGGTGGCTGTCGAGTTTTGAGACATCTCAAAACTCGTGCTTGGCCAGCAGGAAGGTCAGCCTGCGCGACGCCTGTGATGTGAGGACAGGAAGACAAGGGGGTGAGGACGGGAGGTTGTATGAGTAGGGTAATGCATTGGGTGACAAGGAGGAGAATGCATGAGAATCAGTGAGTGCGCATGCGGTGGAAAGGAAAGCATCGGATAGCGCCACTTGCACGGCATGGCACACAAAACGGCACGGCACGGCTCGGCAGGGGGCGGAAGAAGCAAGAAAGCATGGCATGAGACATCAAGCAGCAAGGCATGTATGGCAAGGCATGCATGGCATGGAACCCATGGCACACCGTGGCTCGCTGGTTGGGGTCGTCGTGGTTCAAGCCTGTGAAGAGGTCCTTCACCAGCACTGTCGACAGATAGTTCCTGCATCGAAAGCAGAAAGGGAGGGGGCAAATGGGGGGAGGGAAAGGGAAAAGGTAGGGGGGAAAGGATGAATTGAAATGTTTCAAACTCCAAGCCTGTGAAGAGGTCCTCCACCAGCACTGTCGACAGATAGTTCCTGCATCGAAGGCCGAAAAGGGGGGGAGGGGAGAGAAACAGGGGGAGAGGATAAGTCTTGAATGTTAACTCCAAGCTTGTGAACAACCACCAGCACTGTCGACAGATAGTTCCTGCCACACGAGCGGGGAGGAGAACCGGGGAAAAGAGGGAACTTTTTCAAGTCTCTTTACAGCTGGCAAAAAGCGAGGGGCACCAGCTCTGGTCTTCTCAGCATGGCATCTTGACAGAATCGCACCGTGAGGAACCTCAAATATGGTTTATAATAAATCCTCGGATACGGCCAGACAGAAGCAGTGCACACTGGCTTGGATTGGAGGACTTGGGTTGGAGGTGCGTCGCAGAGGAGGCGGAGGAAGTGCAGCTGCAGGGAGTGCTGGCTGGCTCTCTGGGCACAATTGCTGAGGGGCCTCAGAGGTCATTCCATTACTTACTTTTCGGTGGGGCCGCGGCCGGGCGTCTCAACAAAGAGGTCGTGGTCACAGAGGATGCGGAGGAAGTGCAGCTTCAGGGAGTGCTGGTTCGCTGGACACATGCCCGCTAGTTGTGACAGGAACAGTCCCACCTGGAGGGGGTGGGGAAGAACGTAGGGTGGAAGAAAGAAGGGGTTTAATTTGGTAATCAAAGAAAGGATGGTCACAAACGTTCCATAGGTGCTGAGGTTTTACTTCAGAGTCACAAGTTCAGTTTACAGAGCGCGGAATTTCAACGGCAAGGAGGATTCAGAAGAGCTTACCAGCTCGATCACTTGCGGCAGGTCGACAATAGTGATGAGGTCGCAGCAGAAGAAGGCGAGGGAGTTGGTGAGGCGGCTCTTGAGTCGACTTACAAGTCAGTCAATTTTGAGTCGAATGAAAACTCACCAGCTCGAACACTTGACGCGGGTCAACAACAGTGATGAGGTCGCAGCAGAAGAAGGCGAGGGAGTTGGTGCCAGGCAATTGTCAAGTCATTTTGAGCAGACTCGACTAAGAACTTACCAGCTCGAACACTTGAGGCGGGTCAACAACTGTGATGAGGTCGTAGCAGAAGAAGGCGAGGGAGTTGGTGAGACGGCGCGCAAGGGGGTAGTCTGCATCAGCCTTGTCCTGCACCTCAACCAGGAGGCACTCAAAGAGCTGCCGGATGCACAGAAACACCTCGTCCTCCAGCCTCAGCCGCGCTATCTCGTCGCCTGGTAGGGTTATGCGTGGAGTGGAAGAGCGGGGGAAAGGAGGGTGGCTTTGTGTTGTGAGACGCCTCAAAACGTGATGCCATTGTCTGGTGATGCTATGTGCATAAGCATGCAGGGTTATGGGTGGATGGTTCGGTCAGAGTGATTTGGTCACCCAGTACCATGGTGAACGGTTTTCAACTACCGTGTTTTAACAGCAAACCACGTTTTCAAACATACGGGCCGTTTGTTTCCACCCTGCTCTCGATGGCTCACCTTGCGGCACCTGAGCCAGCTCGAGGTCCATGGACTTGACAACCAGCTCGAGGTCCATGGACTTGACAACCAGCTCCAGCACAAACCATGCCATGGTCAGCGCTGGTATCCCTTCACAGTGACCTCACCGTGTATGCACCACCCGGGCAACGCTCACCTTGCAGCACCCACACAGCGCTCACCTTGCGGCACCTGGGCAAGCTCGAGGTCCATGGACTTGACAACCAGCTCCAGCACAAACCACGCCATGGTCAGTGCCTCGCTGTACACCGGACCTACTCGGAAGCCCCGGGACTGCAGGGTCGGGAAGCAGAGGGACGGGACGAAAGGAGGGGGCGATTGCTTTATTGAGAGGAAAACGGGGCATGTGCAAGGGAATGGTGGGCGAGATTGGTACAGCACGGAGCGATTGAGTTGAGTTGGCATAACTTGACAAAAGCCGTGGCACACGCTGAGAGGCTCTCAGTGAGAGCTTACAGAATGCACATGATGCCAAACGCCCAGACCTCAACCCTGAACCCCCCTGAGCACCGCAACCCTACACCTAATCCCCGAGCCTGAGGCGGGCACCTTGCTGCGGGCGAGGGAGCGCCAGACGTTGCTGAGTCCGGGGTAGACGGGCGGCTGCTGGCGGCCCAGGTCGTCAAAGACAAAGTCCACAAAGTGCACCAGGAAGCGGTTGCGAGGCACGTTGGGAGACAGCTCTGCCTGCACCCTGAAGTGTGGTGTGGGGGGAATAGAGACCAGGGGTTGGATAGGAGAAGAGTGTGTGCCCAGGTCGTCAAACACAAAGTCCACAAAGTGCACCAGGAAGCGGTTGCGAGGCACGTTGGGAGACAGCTCCGCCTGCACTCTGGTGTTGATAGGGGAGGGGCGAGTGGGGTGAGTTGGGGGAGAGGTTGTGAGCATGTCTAAGGGTCTGGCATGTCTTCGGGCACGGTGGAATGCAGCAAGAGCAGCGGAGCAGGGCGATCTTAACCAGCAAAATCACACCAAACCATCAACTCGTCTCCGCAAAACCCTCACCTCAACTTAAAGACCCTCAAATCAAACTCCAGGGCCCCTCGGGCATGTTCCAAGACCCCTCACACCAACCCAACCTCTGCTCTCAACAAGCCGCTCACCTCGACACGATGTTGACGGTGGCTCGAAAGGCCGCCACCTGCAGCGTCTCGACGCCGTTCCCAATCATGCACAGCAGCATGTTGAGCAGCGGGTACAGGAACTGCAGCAGCACCACCGTGTCCACCCCTTTCAGCCCATTGATCGACTCCAGCAAATCCTCCCGGGGCAGAGGAGCCTCCAGCACGTGGCGGTCGTACTGGCGGAAGAAGTCGCGCAGGCGGTCGGAGAGGGGGAGGAGCGAGGAGAAGAGGCGCGTGCGCAGGCGGAACACGGGCTTGCCCTCCTCCCAGTAGGTCAGCTTGGCTTTGGTGCTCTCGTGCAGGTACTTGGGTAGAAGTTCCTTGGACATGGGCAGGTTCATCTCGCCCTTGAATGACCTGAGGGGGGAGGGGAGGGGGAAGAATGGGGGAAAAGAGGCACGTGTTTCCCCTTGGTGCTCTCGTGCAGGTACTTTGGTAGCAGCTCCTTGGGCATGGGCAGATTCATTTCACCCTTGAACGACCTGGTGGTGAAGGAGGGTGTTTTGGGGAGAGTGGAGTGGAGAAAGGACTGGGAGTGGAGTGGAGCATGTTTGGACTGGGATTGAGTATGGTGCAGTGGTGAGTGGAGAAAGCGTAAGACAGGGACGAGCATGAACAGAATGCACTTGATGTTTCTAAAACTAGAGAGGTGACTATGCAGTAACACAGTAACGCCACACAGATGACTAGTGGTCGGTTCATGACTCACTGGGTGACAGCTGATAGAGGCATGACAGAGTAGCCAACCACTACCTGCCACATCAGAAAAACACACACATCACATCAATGCACATCAGCATTGTCTACAAGCAAAAAAGCTCCATCAGACAACAGGTTCGGCCCAAAAGCAGGGGCAAACAGATTAAAGTCTCGGGAACCAGAATAAACTCACCGGTTTGGGGCGGTCGGCCTTGACAGCAAGGTCGATGTGGAAGAAGGAGAAGAGGAGGTGGTGGGAGGGGCGCAGCATGGGGAAAGGCACTACACTCAAGCTCATCCTGTACCCCTCAGAAGCTCACTCTGTACCACATATGATTTCACCCTGCACCTCCCTCACAAGCTCACCGGTTTGGGGCGGTCGGCCTTGACAGCAAGGTCGATGTGGAAGAAGGAGAAGAGGAGGTGGTGGGAGGGGCGCAGCACAGCAGGTAGCTGGATCTTGAACTCGTCGTGGAAGAGCGATGGGCGCATGCCCATGGCCACCTGTGACGACGCCACTCGCTGCATTGCATGCTCCCGCTCCCATGGGAAGATGGCCTGCGGTGGTGGAAGGGAGGGAGTGGTGTTTGGGAGGGAAACGGGTGGGGAAAAGATGAGAGGAGGGAAAAGAGGGTGCATGCTCATGGCCACCTGTGACGACGCCACTCGCTGCATCGCATGCTCCCTCTCCCAGGGGAAGGCGGGCTGCCACGGTGGAAAGGAGGAGTGCGCAAGAAGGGTGTTTAGACGTTGAGAAGTCTCAATACTTGAGGCCACTCGGCGCATGGCATGCAATTCAGGTCGCCACTCCCTCAAATAGGTTCCTTTGAAACTGACCTCCCTTTCTGAAGCGACAAGCACTGCAGCTTGAAGCTTCAGCCTTGAAAAGAACATACCTCGAGCTGCGGGCGTGAGGACTGGAGGTCGGTGTCGTCGTCACGGAGCTCAAGGCGCATGAAGAGGTTGAGCTTCTTGGGCAGAGTCACACTGTGCGGGTACACAAACGCCAGATGCTCCAGATGTGTGAACGGCTCTGCTCGTGTCATGTCCGTGAAGTCCAACGCGTGGAACTGACGGGGGGGGGCATGGGGCAGAGGGTTGGGGAGAGAAGGGGAGAGTGTGGAGGGATTGCGTAGCGAGTTGCGAGTGGATGATGATGAGTGGGCAGAAAAGAGAATTTGAAACAAAAAGCACTGCAGCACATTTTGCACGTGCCAGCTCACTCGCCCCGTTGAGCACATCCAAGCTCACTCACCCCGTTGAGCAGGCGGGAGATGGAGAAGGTGCGACTGAGCCCGCCCACTTCATCCGCGTCTGACCCCATTGACTCCATTGACCGCGTGTGACCCATGGCCTGGCTGGACCCTGCAGGCCCCGCCTGGGCGGAGTGGGAGAGAGCAGTGCTGCCCGGCAGCCGCTCCACCTCCACCTGCATGGTCATGCGCACTGGCTTGTGCACCTTGCGCTTCGGGTCCTGAAGGGGGGAAGATTTAAGGGGTGCCGGGGGGGAGAAGGTGAGGGCTGGAGCACTGCTGTTCAGGGGTGTATCGTGGATGGATCTTCCACCTCCACCTGCATGGTCATGCGCACTGGCTTGTGCACCTTGCGCTTCGGGTCCTGAAGGGGGTTTTGCGGGGAGAGGAGTAAGGGAAGCCAGGGGACCAGGGGTAATGCAGGAGAAATGGTGGGGAGGAGTTGAGGGTGTGATTGAAGTACTGAACAGGTGGCAAGTGGAGAAGTCGAAGCAAGGGGACATGGTAGCAGAAGGTGGACTAGGCAGCCAATGCCATATAAGCCCCCGTAATAGCACGCATCTCAAGCCGAGGTGACTTTTGAGTCGACTCAAAAATCACCTCAATGCCATATGAACCCCCGTAACAGCACGCATCTCAAGCCAAGCCCCCTTGTGATACGCACAAAGAGCTGGTCCTCAGTATAGCACTCCTTCACGCGCTGCAGACACGGAATATCCACCAGCAGAGGCCCTCCCAGCTCATACCGTGGTGCAGCCCCCCCTTCCCCCAGCGCCCCACTGCTAGACCCCGGCGTCCCAGGGCCCCCTGCGCCCTCCCCTGCCCCTCCCCCTGCTGCTCCGCCCAGCACCCCGGAAGTGCCCCCCCCTGTGCTGCTGCTCCCGAAGCCGGTGGTGCCGCCTGTGCCGGTTGAGTCGAAGAGCGGAATGGTGGCGAACGCAAAGGCCTCGCGGAACGGCATGCTCTGTGAGGGTTGTGCGGGGGGGAGAGGGGGAGAAGGTAGGTATGGGGGAGAAGGCATGGGGGTGAAATGGGGTGAAAGAGTGATCACAGGGTTGAGTAATGGACGCGGAAGTCTTGGGTGTTGGCATGGCGTGTGTAGAAAGAGGTTGAGGGGAATAAATTCTTCGAATCAAGCAGACAGAAAATAGATGGACTGACCTGTGCCCATTCTGAGAGCCGGGATGCCTCTCTCTCTGTCAAAACGGGCTGCATGCACACATGGAAAGAAGATCCAGTGAGCAAGGAGGGAAGCAGGTGCATGTTAATCGGCAAGGAGTAGTGATGTGATGAGTACAACAGCACCTGTGACAGCAGTACCCAAGAAAGAAGAAAGTGGCGGATGTGCAAAAAGAGGTGCAGAAGGACCAGCGACAGCAGTGAGAGAACTCACTGGGTCCTGGTTCATATTTTGATATTGGTAACCAGCCGATTCTGTCACAGTCACTGGGTGCTTGACTTCAAAAAATATCAATAGCTGATGATCAATAGCCACTCACAGGGTCCTTGCGCGTGTACACAGAGCCCTTGACGCCGTTGATGCTTTCCTCTGTGACAGCTCGCTCCACCTGCACCAGCAGGCACAGCACTGCCGCCTCCCTCTCCACCGTGAATATCGCCCTCAGCTCGGGGGGCGTGCTCTCCTGTTCCACACACGCACACGCACAGTGGGGAAAAGGGAGATCGGAAGAGGTGTTATGGGACATGTGAGCACGGTCATTGCTCGCACATGAGGCAGGTGCGCATACACTGAAACCTCAATGTAGAAGGAAGAAGCAGGAGAGGAAAACGAGAGAGAGAAGAGGCATGTGACTGACAGGCCATGCGGACCTCGTGTGATGACTATGCATGTTATCTCGTTTCCCCAACTGACCGTGCTTCTATTACTTTGTGACATTAAGGCACTCACCCCGTCCCAGGAGAGAGGCAGGTACTGGAAGTGAAAGTCCTCTGAGACCTTCTCCTTCTTCTCAGTGTGATACAAACAGATGGAGCCATAAAAGGGCTCCACGAGCCCCGCGGGTACATTGAATGAGAGTATTCGCACAGAGAAGCGCGTGCCTCTGGGGGGTGGGGCGAACAGACGGGCAGTACAGGGTGGGTGGGGTTTCTGAGGCGGCTCAAAATTCGTCCAAGGGCTCCACGAGACCCGCCGGTACGTTGAATGAGAGTATTCGCACAGAGAAGCGCGTGCCCTCTCCTGCTGGGGGGAGAGGGGAACAGGGGCAGTACAGAGTGGGTGGAGGAGGGGACTCAGGGAGAATGGACGCAGATGGATCATGGGTTGCCAGAAGCACATGGGTCATGAACGGCCGGACGCACATGGCAGTGCAATATTCTAAGAGTTTTCAGATCACGAGTGCAAGGAGTCAAGAAGAAGGATGTCTATGGTGCTGTGGCATGTGAGAGGAGTTGAAAGGAAGGAGGAAAGTGGCTGGGACTGGTGAGGAAGGGAGGGCACGGCACATACACTGTGCTGCTGACAATGGGCTTGATGGGCATGCGCTGGCCAATGACAGCAGCTCTGTCCGTCTCCCAGCTGAACAGAGGCTCGTACGCCATGATGGGTGGGCCCCCATAGTGCTGCGAGGTGGCACACACGGAGAGGGAAACAGACAGGGAGAGAGATGACACACATGCACACACACACTCAGAATCAGCCCCCTCCACACACGCACGCGTACCCCCAGGGCCTCCAACTTTGTCGTCCGGGTCCCTGTTCTCCAACTACGGCTCCACATCCATGTGTGAAGCCGTCTCACCACACGCATGCAACAACCTTTATCTCTCCCACCCACACACACACACACCCTGGCCTCCCCCCTCCACCCCCTCCCCACCTCGTCATCCGGGTCCTTGTTCTCCAGGTATGGCTCCACATCCGCGTGTTAAGACGACTCATCACATGCACACACGCACGTACTCAAACACCCGACCCCCCCCCCTTTCCCCCACACGCCTCCCCACCTCGTCGTCCGGGTCCCTGTTCTCCAGGTACGGCTCCACGTCCGCATCATCGTCCTCCCCATCGCGCCCTCCACCCGGCCGCCCAGGCCCCGCGGCAGAGCGGTCGGAGAGCGGCGAGGAGAAGAGCTGGGGGCGGAAGGTGAGGTGTGGCTGGGAGAGGAAGGCGCCGTACTTGTTCTCCACGTGCACCAGGTCCGCGTTCACGCACAGCTCTACCTCCCTCAGGTGCGGCAGGTCCTCCGCCTCGCTCAGCACCTGGGACCAAGTCACGAGGGTGGTAAAGGCGGTAACCAGGGGCCCAGAGCGGGGGGAATGGAAAGAGAGGGAGGGGGGGAAATGGGAAATGGGAGGTGAACGAAGGGTAAATTTGGGGGAAGAGGGCGAGGTGCGTGTGGGAGAGGAAGGCGCCGTACTTGTTCTCCACCTCGCACAGCTCCACCTCCCGCAGGTGCGGCAGGTCCTCCGCCTCGCTCAGCACCTGGGACGGGGAAGAGGCGGAAACGGGGGTGATCACGGGAAAAGAGAAGGGTGCGATGAGTAGAGGGGGGGGGGACGAAAACTCTTCCGAATGAGGGGGGGAGTGAGCGAACCTATGTTCCACTCCATTCTCGTCTTCTCTAAGCAATGTTCGTGCTTGACAGTGGCCTTAAAAACGCGCTGCGTAGTCTGTAAGGCGTCGTCCGTATCCCTTCCAGAGCATGCCTAGCGTTAAGGTAGCGCAGACAAATTTTCTAGGCTACTGAGGTTGCTAAATTCTTTCCAGTGCATGCCTACCGGTGCCTCATTGAGGTAGCGCGGGCGGAAGAAGCTGTCTCGCGACGTCAGCGCGTGCGATGCTGACAGAGCCATGCCGCGCCACCACAGGCGACCTTCGAGTCGACTCACGCGTCACCGTGTGCCATCGGCAGACTCCCCGTCGGTCACACCTAGCTCCCTGACAGATATCACTGTGAGGCGCCTCAAAAGTCCTCCCAGTCTACCACACCTGGCCCCCTGACAGCTCTCACTGTGTTCTGCCGCTTCGCATCTAGGCAGCACCGGGACCCATCAATTGGGACTACCAGCAGTATATCTCCAATCGAACTCAAGTAAGCGCATGGTTAACGTGAGAAGTGTTAATAACTTTGGTCATTAAAAGACAGCCTAATAAGGAACTCCTTGAGTGAATTGACTGCGCGATCGTGGACCGTGACAGCTGTGTTGAGTTGGCTCGGGTCCTTATAGATAATGAGGTAGCATTGTTGGATGAGAGACATTCAGTGTTTCGCAATGCAGATACTTGAAGCTATGGCCGTGAGAGGCACGAAAAGAGAGGAAACGACGACGACGACATAATACCGTGTACCGAAGTACGAAATTGGGCTATGGAGTAAACTCGAAATGGGCTACACGGTGTTTTTCGCGATCAGTGAGCGCTACGATATCCTTCGAGAAAACAATCTGCGTGATCGTAGCTGGAGGCGAGAGAAGGACGGCGCGTGCTCTCAGGAACACGCATGATACGGACGTCTCTGAAGTGACAAGAGGTTTACGAAATGCAAGAGTTTCAGGGACTACAACTAATGCTTCCGAAATGCCTTGCGCGAATACAAGGAGGACCTAAAGGCCATGCAACCGTGAAATTAGGTTGTCGTCGTCAACACCGTCACAAGTCGTGGCTTGAAACTGCAGTGTAATGATGTCAGAAGGCCTAGCTCAGAAACAAATGAAGCAGGCCAGGTTCAACAAAATACTACCACTGGACGAGACAGCCAAAGCCTGCAGTCAAAAATCCGACTGGATGGCTCGCAGCAGGCTTTCGAGATTGCCGAAGGAAAACAGGCGACCAGCGGACCGACCACAGGGATGGCCGCGCGGATAGCTACAGGCTTGCGGAGTCAAAGGGGGAGTCATCGGCAGAAACTGCGCAAGCGCAGGCAGCGGAAAGTGGGCTGGGTTGCGCGGATTACTACATGCATTTCACTCCAATCTACACTCCACTATCAAAGTAACATATTTTATCCAATCATCCAAATATCAAAGTTAGGGGGGCTCCAATGTTTTCGAGCTTATCTAGATGCTCTCTTTTGTCAACACAGGTCAATATGGAGTAAATATCTCATCTAAAAATGTGATAAATTTCCAGATTTTGTATTAGAGCTAGCCCTACTTCGACATATTCTAAAATATTTGTATTTAGAAAGCTTGCTTTCTTATACTGATCATTTGGCATCGTTCTCATTGCAACTGGCAAATTACAACATGCACCTCGAGCTAGACAATATAGATGCTAGTACATGACCTGATTCCACCTACCATAGCATTGTACTAGCTATCCTGCATTATGCGTGCGTACTACCAGTCATATGACTAACTGTCTGTCCTCCTGTTCCAGCGGCGTCGCAGATGTCCTCGGTGTCGGGGTGGGGGGTGGGAGAGTTGCATGAGCCGTTGGAAAATGAGAGATGTGGGTGGAGGGAAATGAGCTCCAACCCACGTTTTGTAGTTGGAGAAGGGCGTTTAGCGCGCTTCGACGATGCCAAATCTGCGTTACAGGCAGCTGCGCTTTCGAAATACGTAATTTTGAAAAACACTTCGTGTGTTTAAAAAATATCATATTTAGAAAGCTTGCTTTCTTATACTGATCATTTCGCATCGTTCTCATTGCAACTGGGGTCTCTGAGACATGGGCAGCGGGGGCTTTCGATGGCGGACGAGTGCCTCGGCATGCTGCGATGAAGAAGGGGTGTATGTCAGATCTTGCAACTGACGGGAGGCGTTGACGAGGTGTTCGGCGTTGGGCGTGACGTACATCTCCTTCGCTGTGTCGCTGCGCCATCTGCCCAGTCGTTTGAAGATTCTGTCTGGCACACCGGTGTTTGCCGCGGCAGTGGCTGCTCCTTTGCGAAAGGAGTGAGTGCCCAGCTGCTGTTCTCCTAATCCGATCCTCCCGAACGCTTCTTTGCACCAGTTTCGGATCGTCGGGTATGCTGGCGGCCTTGCTTGGCCACTTTGGGGTGAACCGCGTCCAAAGACTCGAATAAGTGGCCCCGCGGACTGCTAGTTGTACCCCGCAAGTTGGATGAGTCGTCGGGTGCAGCGGACGGGGCAAAAGGGGTCATGAGTTGCGGCGATGGGTATTCATGTGCCCCTTCCAGCTTGGTCCGTCTTGGAGTACGGAATTAAAATCCACATGACCTCGTTCTCGAACTGGATGTCTTGCCACTCGATGGCGATGAGGTCTGAGTATCTTAAAAATCCTGTGTACATGAGGATGGGGATTAGCCCCTTTTGGAACTCTCCTGGGTTGTCGGATTGCAGGTAGCTGGCAGACATGTCGTGGACTTGTTGCAGCGAGACAGGCTCCTTCACTCGCATGGGGTGAGGGCAGTGCCTTTTTGCGAAATCGCGTACTTGAGTGGTGAATGGTCCGATCGTTGGGCAGATGCTCCCGGTCATGCGGTGTGCAAAGCTCACGGCTGAGCATGTGAGTTGTACCATGGACAAGGTGGCTTTGTGTTGGATCGCGTACACCAGGTACAGCGCGAGGGTCATGTCCGCCGTGGGGAGGAATGGGAGGTTCACCTTTGCACAAAAGGCTCGAAACTTGACCCAGTATGGCTCATATGTTCGGATTGTTGAATCGGCCCGAGACTGGGAGAGCATCTTTAGAAGCTGGACTTGTAGCTTCGGCAACACGTCTGCGCACAGGCGTATGGGCGGGTTAGTTGAAGACCACTCGTAGTGCAATGATTGTGCTATGAGGCAGTCCTGTGCCTGAGAATGCAGTGCGGTGCGTTCCTACTGCTAGACATTGGCTGCCGTGCGTCAGGGGAATGTGCGCTCTGATGTGCGGGGCCCAGTTTGGTGGGGAGGGTTGTAAGAGTGGCCACCAGTTTGCCCCCGTCCAGTGTGGGGCAATTAGGGTGAGTGATGCGTGGGTGCGTTGTGCGTGGTGGATGACTGCTGGGATCAGCTGGGGTGGTGGGAACGCGAAGCCATTCTCGGCTGTCCATGAGCATGAGAATGCATCAACCGCAGTAGCCTCTGGGTGAGGGATCTTTGAGCAGAATCGTGGCAGATGCGAGTTGCGATGGTTCGCGAAGAGATCGATGGAGTGGGGTCCCCAGCGGCGATCAAGGATTCGGAACCATGGTTGCTTCAGTGAGTAATCGTCATGGTCGGTTAGTTTCGACAGCTCGTCGGCATGGGAGTTAAGCTCACGCGGGATCCATTCGACAATTAGTCGAGTGCCGAGCTCCATGCAGGTGCGAATGATGTCCTTGCAAGCGTTGGTCAGGTCGGGGGTGCGGGAACCGCCTTTGCGAAGGATGAAGAAGACCCCTTGGTTGTCCACCCTCACGAGCACGTGTTTCCGTCGGACCTTGTTCGCGTACGTTCGGAGGGCCCATAGGACACCTTCGATTTCCCGTCGGGTGCTGGACGTTGCGTGCAATGGTTCTGGCATGGCTGCACTGGCTTCTTCGAGTTCGCCGAGGAAGGTGAGCAGAGTGGCACCCCAACTGTGGGAACTGGCGTCCACGTGGATTACGGCGTCGTAACTGTTCCGGACGTGGAATGGTGCGCCGTTGAATATGTCGAACTCCTCAAGCCAGAATTGCAGCTCCTCGGCCACAGACGGGGAAATGCTCACACTGCTTCCCCAGGATGGCGCGTCGTTGATCGCTTGTAACATGGCGTGGCTGAATGCGCGCGCCGTGGCACCTAGCGCGACAGCCATTGACGCGAGCGTGCCAGTGATTCTAGCCAGGTGGCGGACTGGGACCTGTCGACGTGCTTTGCTTGCGCCCAGGAGATTGAGAATGTGTGCATGAAGTGATGCTCGTCGATCGATGCCAATGGAGAATTGTACGGAGTTGGTATCCAGCTCGACGCCCAAGAATCGCAGGTGTTGTGACGGTGACAGCTGCGACTTTTTCGCGTTGATTACCAGGCCCGCCATCTTGAGGTCCGAGATTATCATCTGGCACGTTGCTTGTGCATGTGCCTTGGACTTGCATAAAAACAGGATGTCATCCACATAGGGTACAACTCGGATGCCTTGCTCGCGCCAGCGCCTGGCTAGTTGTTTGATGAGTTGTGTGAAGACAAATGGTGCTGTCGCGAGGCCGAAGGGCAATGAACGGAAAGAGTACGTGCTCCCCTCAAATTCGAAGCCGAGGAATGTCCAGCATGAGTGGTGTATGTCGATGTGATGGTATCCGGATTTGAGGTCGATGGAGAACATCCAGTCGCCTGTGCGTGCCAGGTCGGCAACGCGGCTTAGCCCTTCGTATTTGAATTTGGGGATGATTAGTTGCGCATTCACTTTCCGGAGGTCGAGAATAAGCCTGCATTTGTCACGTTGCTCAACCACGTTGAGTGGGCTGATGCATGTTAGTTCCGCTGCTGGGGTAGCTACCGCCGCTCCGGTATCTGTCAGTTCGCGAATGGCAGTGCGTGTGAATGCCGCGTGTGTGTGCGCGCCGAGATGGTTGCGCTCGTGAAATGGTTGTGGGGGGTTGTGGCTCCATGGTAGCCAGTAGCCGTTGGCGATGACCGAGAGGATGAGGCTACTTGGGCACCACGAGCCCCACCATGCGAGGGTTGCGCGAAGCCGCCCGCGCATTTGCGTGACGGTCTTGTCTGTGACGGCGAATTCGTACGGCTCGTCGTCGCCGAACACCTCATGGCGTATTGCCGCTGCATGTTTGCGGAATGACAATGGAGCGGGAATGCGAAATGAGGTTCCTATGGATATGATTTCCAGCCTTCGTGCGTGAAATGGCGGTGCATGTGATGAATGCGTGTTTGTTGACCCATTCGAATACCATTTGTCACCCCTAGCATCCGCATTGTACGGGTTTTTT